GTCTCGGCATCCTGGTCTGGCCATCGCCGCATCAGTAGTCGAATCCTGGATTCGGAGGCTTTGCCTTTTGCAGCTCCGTGCCATGTGCATAGACACGCGTCACGTGGGAAGGGGTCCCACAATGCGCCCACGGAGTCTCAAGGGGAGTCTGCACCGTGCACAGGTTCACGAGGGCGGGCCTAAGAACGTGAGCACCAGCAAAGTTCCGAGCCAGCTTAGCTTTTCGCAAGGGCCGGAAGAACCTGCTTGGCGGACTCCTGTGGGGTGGGGCGGACTACATTTTACATGGTTCGTGTAACTCTTGTGGAGCAGTCGCCCGAAGAAAAGTGAGAGCTGTTGCTTGGCTAAGACTGTGGCCAGATTTCATGAGCATCGTGAAGTGCAGCTGAGGTTGAAGCTCCGCGATGGGCTAAACAGAGTTTGCCAGTGCCTGTCAATGGACCAAAGCTTTCCAGGCCATGCTTGTGAAATGCCTTTGGCTCCCGGCGTGTCTCTGCGGCCCTGGAATCCTGTTCCAGGCTCCTCTACACGGTGCACGGCTATGAAATATTCCAGTTGGGGCTTTTCAATTCGGATCCGCATGCTGGCAATGCGGCGGCCCCGGCAATTGCCAAGACCTCTCTTTATCTCCGACCTTCTGCTCTGTTTGTGCTGTAGGTGTTCATGACGCCGAGTGGAAAGCTGGGCCTCATCGACTACGGCGCATGCTCCAGGCCTTTGCTGCAGCCCTCTGCAGCTTTTCGATCGCTCGGCCCACCATTCCAAGCCAAGCTCTCCCAGGCTGAGCAAGGAGCAGCGCACGAACATCGCCAAGCTGCTTGTGGCCTGCCACTCCGAGTTCTTGAATTCTCCTGTTGCTATTTGGCCCAATCTTGGCCCCACTGTCCGCTCGGAAGGCTATTGCAGACGAGAACGACGATGCTGTGCGCCACTCTCCTTCGTTTTGAGACGAAGACTTTGGGCCGACGACATACACATCACACCAACTGCGTGAAGATGCTGTTCATGTTGGGCAAGAGAAGAACTTCAGAAGAACAGAAGGGACACCTCAGCTTTCCGCAGTGACCGCCGGCTCAAGGCTTATCGTTTCTAGGCTGTAGCTATGGGCAATTCCTGCTGCGCTTGCGGGGACCGCAGTGACCTTCGAAGTGCTCGCGCTGCACGTCCAGCACTGCCTCTCAAACCCGGGCAGGACACGACCAGCTTCAGTGCAGATGGTGCCGCATTCCCGGAAAACCAGATCCTTGCGGCAGAACTCGGGTCGAAGTGGAGAGGTCCGGATGCGGGAGTGCAGCCGAGGCAGGATCCTTTGGCATGTCCGAAGAATGGTGCTCGGGCTGCATAGATCGGCATGCTTAGTCTTGCTGCAGCAACACTTGGCAAGTGTGGGAGCAACACCCAAGGTTTGGGAAGACTTTGAGCCTCACTTTCCGGACAGAGGAGCCTTCTTTAGTATTCTGTCATGTGATCTGGGTGCAAGTGTGGCCGGCGCTGGGATTCGTCGAGAGATCTCAGAGCCCAGGAGAACAAGGAGGTGACCGTGGTCTTCCCAAAAGCACCTCTGGGCTTCCGCCTGGCGTATAAGCAGTCCCCTCTCAAGGCCAGTGGCCCCCAGCAGCCTTAGCATATCTTTGCAGTTGAGCACATTCGGTGCAGCAGGGTCGCTTCTGGGTTTGCCCTCTTGCCCTCGTCTTTCGCAGTTCTCACGCCTTTATCGCGATCATAGTCTGGGAAACCCCACGACAGCTGTTTGGCTGGCAAAACATGGAAGTCCAAACCTGAACCCCTCTGAGAGGTTGCGAACATCAACGAGAAAGGTGCGGTGAAGGAGTTCGGCCTGAATGTCCAGCCTGGTTGGGCTTTAGCAGCTGCTTGTCTGCTTGTATCTTGCACAGTTTCTCTGGCGATGTGTGGCACTGCATACTGCATATAGGCCCTCACACCCCGTGTTTTTCAAGAAGCCTGCGCGGCCACCCGGGTGGGTCGGGGGAGATCGATTTGCACCAGCGGATGTGGAACGAGCTCACACTGCAAGATGAAGACAAGGACGAGGAGGGAGGGCAGGAGAGGCCGGATTTGATGCAAGAGCTCGAGAGCAGAATTCGATCTTGTAGTTGGGAAGCTGGGAGCGTCATCATCCCAAGATGAATGGCCCTGTCTTCGTACTACGTACTTCTGCAGTATTGACTGAGGCTGTGAATGGCACTTCTGTGATGAGCTGTCACCACAAGGTGGGCGCTCAGATCGTGAAGGATGCAATCAAGGACCTGTGTCCGAGTCTTTTTCGTCCCGGCGGACTTTTTTCTCGTGATTTTGTGCCACTTTGCAGGAGACTTTCGGCGAGCAGAAGCACGGGTCAGAAGATGCCTAGGTGCCGAGCCATAGCTGCGAGCTGAGCTTTCCCCAAGCTCTATCTTGGCTTGGACATCGGTGCAAAAGGCCAACCAGGCAATCTGTCCTATATTTCATGGAGCCTGGAGTTCAGGATTGCATCTGCTGGCAGGCGTGGCACTTGACCTCAGAATGTATAACTCGCTATGGGTTGCTCTGATTCGGACTCTGCCGTGTCTGAAGTCTCCTGTTTCCGCGGTTGCGCCGCATGTCGTCCAGCTGCCGAGCTTTCGCAGGAACGCCGGTCAGGTGCAGTCCTGAGTTCCATCAGCGGCGTATAGCGTAAATATGCTCCCTACAAGCGGGGGTTACTTTTAAAGCCGCTTGGGCGACAGGCAAGACACTGTAGCACGGTACTAGCCTTTAGTCAGACATGCCAAACCACGACCGACAAGAAGCTTGACGTCCTTGCTTGGACTTAGCTGGCTAGCACTGGCTCAGACTTGGCTGGCTTTGAAACGCCGGCATCTGACATCCGTTCTTTACATGTTAAAGGCAACAGTTCATTCTGGGGCCAACGCCACTTTGTTTTCGTGCTGCGACAGATGTACAGAAAGCAGACGAAGCCGGTTGGAACTCAAACGAGTTCTGACCATGTAGGTTGGCGGGCGGGTAGAGAAAGGCATGTATTTTCCCAGCCTGCATGCCCTTGCCATCAAAGGGTCATCCAGATGGTGCAGGACTTGGAGTCTACGGCTATCTTTGGGGCATCCGCTGGGAAGATACATCAGATACCGCAGGCTGCGGAGCAACTGACAGGCCGAGTTGTGTAAGTGATTGGGCCTTGCCTTGCAGCAGGCACGGCTCACAATCGTGGTTGTACTCGCATCAGAAACTGTCCCATGTTTCCTTGGCCGGCAGCTTCGACCCCTGCGATCACCTACGCGCAACATGCGGATGCCCGCAAGAAAGACGCGCAAGACTCTTCTAGCCGGATCTGAGCCGTCTGAGACCGTGAAGATGATTAATGCCTGAGATGGGAATTCCGCTTCCCCATGCGTCCTTGCAGGTACCAGCAGCTTTCTGGGCCTGCGGCTTCCGCAGCCGTAACCAGGTACTCGTATCACTCGTATCTTTCCATGAATCTTCAGATGTGTTGGGCTCTGCTGTTTTTCAGCGTCTAGCAGAGTGTGATTCATGATGCCTTCTGGTTCCTGGGCTGATATCTTGCATCATAGCGTTCATACATCTTGATTGCTGTTTGACAAGATCAGAAGGGTCCGACCCATTGAGCACGCCCCGAAGCTCGAAAAACCCATGCGTCTTGTCCGAGAGCCCGAATGTATACACCCCAAGCTACCAAGCCCCGGAACAAATTCTGGGAACCACTGTGAAAAAAGTGGAGCTTGGAGTTCGAGAACTTGTTTTCACGGCTTATGATGCAGGAAGGATGGGATGAATGTGAGGGTGGTGATTGGCTGCCAGGACCGGAGGCTAGCGCTGCTCTTGGCGCACGTCTTCTTCAATCGGGGCCCATACCCCTACGACATGCAGCTTTGCCGGACTTGGTACTCTTCGTGCTTCAAGGAGTTGATGGCTCTGTCTGTTTCGGTAGATGGCCATGACATGCTAGGATAGGAGTGAGGGGGCACCTCCAGCGACACCTGAGCATACAAGGGCTTGCGTTTCTAAGGAACCGCCTGGCTCCCAAAGTGGGAATGCCAGTTCCCAGCTGAGTATCTTATTGTAATAGAGGGGAGGTGGGGGCCCACCTGTTGGAAGCTGAGATGGATGTCGACATCATGACCTTGGACGCTTACCTCAGGCCTCCGATGCAATGATTGATGTCTTTGCTGCACCGTGCATGTGCCAGGGGGGGAGAGCTCGACGAGATCGAGGAGTGCCCGAAACTGTGAGCATGTGTAATGTTTAGTAACACAGAAAAAGAACATCAATAACAAAAACAACAATAAGATCAACAATGACATTATATGATAATGTGGGTGTTCCTTCCACCATGGCTCGGGCCTCGGATTCGCAATGGAACCTGCTATTTCTGTGGACTGCCAGGAGTTTCCAGGGCACTTGGTGATGCTGCAGAGATGCGCCACGTCCTTACGGAGTTTCTTCGGTGCACTTTGAGTCCCGGAGGAGGCAATGATTCCAGTGCCACTCAGGCAATGGTCCTGATCGGCGCCCAGTTCATCCCAGTTCTGATGCCACATCACGCATGGTCTGGCTTGAGAGAGACCTTTTTGCAGCCACGTAAAAAACTGTGAACTACCATCATGTAACATATAGATGTAGTTTAAATCTGGTTTCTTTTTCGCATGAACTCCACATCGACAGCCTTTTCCGAGGTCAGGCCTTGCAATGGAGCTCGGTGCTGGGCGCCTCTCCTCAGCCGAGATGCTGAAGCCCCAGGCTGGGAGCTGCCTATGACGCGGATGTGAAGGGCACTAGGAAACGTAGCTGCTATGTGAACACGGCTTCTGTCGGAGGGCGTTCGGAACAGAATGAATGCTCCTCTCCGCTTGAGTCCGGTGACACGTGACGCTTCGGGCAGGCACTGGCATGGCTGGAGGACGAGATCGATTCGACAGCAGAAAAGGGGCGTGCACGGAGCATCGGCTTAAGCCCAGGGCTACGCGCTTCGCAAGCGCAGCAAGGCTGAAGCCCTACCTGGACCGGGCCGTGCACCTGCCCCACCTGGCCCCACCGACGAAAGTTTTCGCAACATGAACTGTAGGTTTTTTGTCAAAGACAGCTTGACCGGTGTGTGGATGCGCCAGTGATTCAACTGCGCCAGGACAAAGCCGAAGGTGGTGTCAGCACCTCGGAACCAAACTCGCTTCCCTCATGCAGTGTGGCAAGGCTTGCTTTCCGCAAGAGGTCCTAAGTTCGAGTGTCGACTGGGGCTTGCTGGAAGAGACCTTCCAGAAGGACGAGCGCCTGCTGCTGCTGCTGCTGCTGCTGCGTCCTGCGCCAATCTCTGACTTCATCGAGCTGCCGCAGCCCTCTTGAGACCTCAAGTGCCGGTGGAGCCATGTGCGAAGCCCCGTGATGTTATGGCGTATACAGGGGAGGAGTTCAAGGATTTGAGGAAGCCCAAGGCTCAACCTTCAGCCACCGTGAAGACTACGTTGTTTATCTTCTTCGTGTTCATTCGCGCGATTCACCCGACGGCCCCTCTGCTGGAGTAGAAGTGGTCCCTGAACCAGAGTGTGAGAGCCGAAAATGTCTCGAAACACCCCGTAAGCGCCTTCGGCCTTCGAGGTCATTGATGCCTCCAAAAGCATCGGGGCAGATGGGAGCAAGTTCTTCGCATATGGACCGCAGACCGCCAACTTGGCCGAGGCTCCTCCGGCTCCAAGGGGCCCAGGGTTTGTATTTTTATAAGATTTTAAGTACATAGCCCACTATATATATATATATATATATATATATACGCACATTCATATAAAGCACATAATATGTAAGACATGACATCTAACATATGATATAAATTATATAGAATTTGTTTGCCCGCCTTCGCAGGTGGGCATGTCGATGCTGGTGGCTCAGGCCTTGGCGTGGTGGCGCGGGGAGCGCCTCGGCCTCCAGAGATCGGGAGCCCTGCTGCGGGGATTAAGCTCCGTCCCCCCTAGGCCTGAAGAGTCCCCAAATGGGGTCCTTGTAGCTCCCTTATAGCTCCCTCATGGTACCCTTATGGCACCCTTATGTTTTAGAACATAAACGAAAGGCAGGCATGAAACGGACTCGACTTTAAAGGGTTGTGGAAGCAGACTTCGCAAGCAGAGGTGGATGACAATTTGGAATCCAGCGCCACTGTGCCTTGGCGATCTCGTGCTCACGGTCACTCCACATCCGGCATGGCTCCTAGTCATAGCATCACTTTGGAGAAAAATCCCTTGCCAGTTAAGGAAGATTTTCACGATGATCGGCTTCCTGTTCGGTCTTGGGGACTACCTCGAAATGCGGAGTATGGTGTCACTCGGTGGAGGTTCTTACCAAATTCTTCTTCAGTCGAGGCTGCTGATCACTGCGCTGATGCTGTGGCTGGTAAGTGGCAAAGGCCAGACGCCATTTCAGTGGAATTTGCTGGCGCTCGTCGTGTGCTCCATGTCTGTGTACATGTGTCTCGACATGCAGCGTGACACGGACGATGGTGATTCAGATAAGCTGCTGGGGACGATCAACGTAGTGCTGAAGGTGACAGTGAGCTGCCTCGCTGCCGTGCTCACGGACAGGTACACCAAGCAGTTCAACGATCCTGTATACATACAAGCAGTGCAGCTGCGTGTCTCGCGGACTCTCCTTCTTGCAGTATTAGTGTGTTTGGATGGAAAGACGCTGAATAACGGCTTCTTTCATGGGTGGGATTCTTGCACTGTCGCTGTGGCCGTAACGCACATGCTGAAGGCATGGAGCACACTATATCTCCTTGTGTACTTAGACTCCGTCCTGAAGAACATGGGCGAGAGTTTGGCTGTTCTAGGGACTTACCTTATGGAGGTGCTGCTGCCGATATTCCAAACCACATTCGACATCCGTACCCTTTTGGCGGTGATGGTTGTCATGCTATCTGTATACACGTATGTCAGTTCCAAGCCCGTGGTGACAAAGTCCGTTCAGTTCGATGCGCTACAGGCTGCGTGAAAACAGCGCAGCGGGAGTCCGACCACTACCTATGAGGTTGCAGGCCCACCTGTGGCCGGACTAGGTTTCGACTGATCTGCGAAGTGTCGACAAACAGTGACATGGGCGCAGGCCCCAAGCCTGCAGTGTGCTTGCATGCTGCCCTGCATGTCCGGAGCGCCCCCGCGTCCAGGAGGGATTGGCTCACCTGGATGCAGCCCTGTTGCCGAAGCCCTTGGCAGCTTTGGTGCAGCATCTCCTTGAGGTGCCGGCCCCAGTCTGGTCTCGGGTGCGGGTGCTCCCTGCGAAAGTGGCGCCTCTGATTGCATGGTGCGAGGCCACCGTCTGGTACAGCCCACAGGCGGGTGGATCTTACCTCAAGGCGAGTCTCTTTGACGGACTTCACGACAGGGCCCGAGCGTACGGACTACAGGATCTTGCCTGATTAAGCTTCCGGCATACTCTCGACATGACTGGAAATTGCATGGCCCCAGGCCGAGATACTGCTTCAACTGGCTGCGGAGCTCGCTGCTCGTTTGCCTTCTCCCTAGAGCAGGGACGGCAATGCAATGGACGGATGTGAGTGGCCGTTCTGCATCTGCCAGTGGGGATTGCCAGTTGGTGCACGGCATGGTGCAAAGAGACGGGCGAAGCTGCCGTGCCAAGAAAGGCCTGCATCTCTGGGCCCACATCGGTGAGGTCCCCAGCTCTGCAGCTACAAGTGTTTTCCTGCTTTCCCGACGCCGAATGCAATCTTGTCGTCATCAGCCACGGCTTGCTTGCAAGGGTGCCTGTGCTTCGTGCTCTGTTGCTAGTGTTGCTGTTCTGCAGGGTTCTTGCTCTTGTTGTTGTCGTTGTCATTGCTGTTGCTGTTGCTGCCCCCTTTCGCTGCTGCTGCTGTTGATGATGTTACTACTTGTATTGCTACCTCTCTGCGGTGAAAGCTTCTGCAGTTTACCCCTCGTAGATGAGGCTCAGCAGCCTCTACGCCCACAAGTATGACACGGAGTGGCCAGGGCATCCGGGTCTGGGAACGCACAGCTTGCCCGGGCCTCAACATCTCCGTCATCAGCCATCATTGGGATAGCATTGACGAGCACTAACGTCACTAACGACCGCGTCGTCAAGTATAGCACTACCACTGCAGCAGTGGCAGTCGCGGTAGCTGTAGCAGTAGCAGCAGGTGACAGCAGTAGGAATATCACTGGCTTTCAGTGTCAATGCTCGATTAACATCGAGTTTAATACGTGCTTCCACGACCGAATATCGACTTGAATTGCTTCCCTGCCGTCGTCTTCGTTGTCGTCGTGGTCGGTAGCATACACTCACCTCACCCGCAGCAGTGGCAGCAGCGGGCAACGGCATCACCATCCAGAACCACCAGCATCATCACACCATCCTCACTGCTCGCATCATCAACACAATGGTCGTCATTAGGATGTCGGTGATGATGACGCTGCAACTGTCCAGCGGAATGAGTCAGCCTAACAGTATGAGCAGGACAGAGCATCTGTCCTTGGCATCGGTGAGATGCAGCAGCATGGTGTGTTTCGTTGAGTGGTCCTGACAATTTTGCATCGCCAGCGGCCAGAGACGATCCGCTGGTGTGTGCATGGGTAACGTTGAAGGGCATTGTACCCCTCCATGGTGCAACCAGCCGAGGCCCTGCTCAGTGGCTGTGCGCACCTGAGGTAAGGTGTGAAACCGGGTTGACCTGACCCGCAGTTGAGAAGGACGGCCGAGCCTTCATGTGGACAAGTTTTGCCTCAGGCTAGGCGCAGTCGAATCACTGCTGCGACAAGGTCGCATTGTGGACGACTCCAGATGCCGCAAACCTCCACAAAAAAGGCGAGGTGCGCACGGACAGGTTCCAAAGCTGAGGAAAAAAATAACCTCTGCTCGCCGTGGTCATGGGCCAGCAGGTGGCGGCTTCGAGGTGTTCCGAGCCGCTGCTCAAGAAGGCCGGCTTTGTCGTCTTGGGACCTCTCGAAGCGGTGCGGTTTCGCCATAGTGTCCATTTTTGAGCGACGATACAGGTAAAGTTTGCTTTGTGTTGCCTTGCCTCAAGACGCCTTTCCTTTGCAGAGCCGGTGATTCCTTGCATCTAAGGCATGCCTCCCAGTGAGCGCTACAGCTGGACCCCGCATCTCGAGGACACCTCTTCCGTAGTAGGTATGTTGTTTTTTGTGTGCCCGAGGCTGAGGGACAATGAAACATGGAACAAAACAGCATAAAATCGTTTGGATTGCTTGCAGGAAGATCTGGCAAAGCATAAGCTGATCTCAGAGACGCAGTTTGCCTCTGCCCGGATACCCTACAAGTCGACGCTGCCTGAATTTTCAGTTCGCCTGCGAACTCGAAAACAGCATTGCTCGCCGGCAGAGGCTTCGGCACTAAGGAATCGCTTGGTCATGTGGCGCTGCGACCGATTCTTTCGTACGGACTGGCAGCCGAAGTCTTGGTCGGCCGCTCAATCCACGAAGAGCTAGCGGCAGTCGTAGGTTTCGGTGAATCCTCGGTTGCAAGACGACTCCCCCTCCCGGACAGGCGTGGAGGTCTCAGGCATCGCCGCACAGACCTTTGGCTGCTCTACGGGGATGGGTCCTGAAGGTGTGAAGCGAATCGGATCGGTTGGCGCGCCTTGAAGAAAATGGAAAATGGAGCAAGGTATGAGGCTTTTGCTGCTTTACACATCAGTGACTTCACCGAACGCTTCGACACTTCTGCTGGCCGGAAGCATCGATAACAGCAACGTGCGCTGTGCACATCTTGGCTTGTCAGCTTGCAGCACAGGGTCCAGGCATTCAAGATGCAATCCTTAGGGCTAGCACCAACCGGACTGACTTGGCTCGACCTGAGCCAACACACAGCAAAGAAAAGAAGGATCCAACCTAGGTCAGGCAGGCAACTTTCATAGCAGGCTTGGCCATGCTTCTGGGTGTTATCGCCTGTTTGGGTTCGTAGGCTCCGTAGCCAGTGGCCATGGGGCAGAATGGACCAGGACTCCCAGCTGTTGCTTGTCGGAGATGTTCGTCCCGCGCACGCCGTCGTTCCTGAAGTCGCTGCCAGCATGCTAGGAGGAACAAGCCACGGAGCCAACTGAGTCGCTGAACATAAACCGATTCTGGGCAGCAAGGCCTAAGGTCAAGTCATCGTCGTTGTCAAGATTCGTGGCCTTTGCTCTGAGGACTGCGATGGAGATACTTTCGCCAGACGCTCCTCGAGCCAAACCGGGGATGCCAATCGGGGGGAGCAGAATGTACTATACTAGTACAGCCGGCAATCATTCGAAATCCTTGCAAGGCTACTCCCATGGAAGATGGCCTTGTGGAAAGCGCTTTCCTTTGCAGCCGGGACGGAATTCAGTTGGCTAGTGGGCCTCTCGCATTTTCCCAACACACCCGATGCATCCAAGGTAAGGACCGTCATGATCGCGTACCTTCTGGTTCTTCTCGGCCAGCCGCCACACTCAATCTAGCAGTAGGAGCACCAACCCCCTCAAAAACAGGGGCCCATCTCCGTCGGCGGAATGTGGGATAAACGCAAATGAAATCCGTTTCGCAGGTACGTTCGTGTGCGCCGGGGCCAGAGGCCCATATCGTTGCAATTTCCGGACAAGGGTTCCATCAGGAAATACACAAAAGCGAAGAAATTCGACGACATGCAAGAAAGAGTGCAAAACCCACACATGCAAACCAGTTGTCCGAGTGTGAGCGCCGAAACCAATGCGAGGTGAAAAGCCGGAAATGCGTTTGGTCAATCGATCATAAATCCAGCAACGATTCTCCATGGGGCACGGGAGCAGCCTGAAAGCGTATGCAAACAGAGGCTGGTGATGTGCGCCATAGAGCACGACGAGGACGCCGCTGTGTGTTAGCTCGTTTGGCAGCATTTCGGATGCAATTTGTTGCAGTATCTGATGATCTTAACATTCGACCAAAAAGAACCAGAAATTGATATTTTTGACACAGAAGGCACTTTATACAATGCTATACAGTGTATATATATATATACACATATGTCGAGTTTATTTATGTATTATTTGTTTATAAATAATTATAGACATACTGTAGACATATATCCATCTCTAGATAGATAGATAGTTACTATAGTTGGTGGTAGTAGTTGCAGTCGGAGTGGTGGTGGTGGTGGTGTTTTTTATGCGTGATCTTGGTTGTCTTGGTTGGGCTTGGGGCTAAAGGGGCATAGGGGCTCCGGTTTGGCAATCTTGGTAACCTTGGGCCGCTTGCACCACTTGACACTCTTTTGCCGGGCCCCCCAAGTGGTGCAAGTGGTCAAGATTACCAAGATGACCGCGCCCTCCACCGGCTCAGTTTACTACCGAATGTGCCCGCCAAGATGATCAAGCTATATCAAGCTTGACCGGCAATCTTGCCCCGTTCGTGGCAAAGTGTACTAGTAGTAGCAGTATCAGTGCAGGAGGTAGTGTAGACATGGGCAGTGATAGAAATGTCAGTAGAGACTAGCAGTTGAAGGAGGACGAGGACGAGGAGTGATCGTAGTAGTGGTAGTAGTAGTAGTAGTAGCAGCAGCAGCAGTAGCAGTAGCAGTAGCAGTAGCAGTAGCAGTAGCAGTAGCAGTAGCAGTGGCAGTGGCAGTGGCAGTGGCAGTGGCAGTGGCAGTGGCAGTGGCAGTGGCAGTAGCAGTAGCAGTAGCAGTAGCAGTCGCAGTGGCAGTGGCAGTGGCAGTGGCAGTGGCAGTGGCAGTGGCAGTAGCAGTAGCAGTAGCAGTAGCAGTAGCAGTAGCAGTCGACGTCGTCGTCGTCATAGTAGTTGGTAGCTTGAGACAGCAGCAAAGAAGCAGTAGTAGGAGTGGAATGTAGCAGAAGCATTAGCGTCAGGAGCAACGGCAGCTGGCGGACTGGCATGAAATTCAGCAGAAGCTGCGCAAGGAGCTCTCACCAGCCGCTCTGCCAGCAATGTAATTGTGGCGTGGAAACATGATTCGGCGCTTTAGCATAGCTGCCACTGTTACTTTTTTAAGTCAGACGCATCTATCGCAGAATTGTCACATGTCCCGATGCTCAGTTCAGCATTCACAGAACCAGAAAGAGACAAAACGGCAGATCGGCAGATGTACTACATTGAAAGATCTGCAACCAACGATCAAAGCTGTCCAAGCCTCCTCGCACCTGGTGGGTTGTACCTAGCCTCGAAGTCCTCTCAAGCACAGATTCGGCAACAGTTATCGAAACCCCGAGCACAAGGCTTGTGTGGCCCAGAGGGATTCCAGAGCTTAAGCGCACAAGCGGTGCTGCCCAGGCGACGTATGCTCAGCTGGTGTCCAAGGGCTTCAGGGAGGTTGAACCGCATTCTGGCTGGCAGTTGGAAGAGGGAAATGGGGAACTGGCATGAAGCTTTTTCAGCAGTCTGTCGGACCGTCCCGGTCCTTCTTGTGGGCCTCGTAGAGATCTGGTCGGGTGACGGCAGGGACAAAGCAGAGTTCCTGGTGTTACTTGGGGTTCTTCGGGCCGATGTTCGGAGGAAGGTCCAAAGGAGGCTTGCATGCTTTTCAGCTCTCAGTTCTGCTGATGCCCTCCCGGATGCCGAGGCGTGATGCCGGCTGGGATCTAGCATCTTGGACGGATATCAAGCTGGTGGTCTTAAGTAGGGGCTGTTACACACACACACACACACATGCAGGCGCCGGGAGAGCTTAAATTGTACAAAAGCGCTGTTATCTGTCACCAGTCCTGGATCCATGTGGCTTTCTCGCACGACTTGTGTGAGATGAGCTTGACTGTCTGAGGGCATTGGGCACAGCAAGAGTTTGATGTGCCTTGTCGGAGAATTTACTGCTGCTGTCACGGGGCCCTTTCCTTGAACGGCTAGTTTGAAGGTTGTAACTTAGAAAAGTCGTGAAGCACTGCCGCAAGGTTCAGTTTCACATTGGTGGCATCCATCGGCTACGGCAACATGTATCCTGCGACGGATGCTGGAAGAGTATTTTGCATTCTCTTCACGCTTCTCAGCTTGACGTGACTGCCCGGGTAGAGTTTGTCCAAGGCCCCAAACAGCCTTGCCTGCTGCGTGCGAGTGTGAGCGTCGAAAATGTGAGACCTTTCAAGCATCTTCAAACGGTCGCATGCATGCAAGGTTGATTGCGACGCCGGCTCTGGTGGTGGCCTATCTTGGGGCAGCGAGGAAGATGAACCCTGGCAGACAGCAGACATGTCTATCTTGACCGGTAGTGGCCAGGCATCAGAGCTGCATGAGCTACTGTCAATGCTACTCCAAGGATCGATTTTACACGAGTAGTTGCGATGCTCTTCAACAAGACGATTCTCGGTTTCGCTTGGAGTAGGCGATACGCGGCATGATGCCTCAGCTCTCGGAATTGCTTTGCAGCAGCTGTCGTTTCATGCACCATCCGAGCAAAACGTCTGCTGGCTTTTGGTGCTTCGAAGGAACATCCTCACTTTTCACAAATACGACACGGATGGCTCTGGACAGCTGGATTCCGACGAATTTGCCGCAGCTCTGCGGGATCTGGGATACCCCGCCACTTGTTTTCAGAAGGGTAAACCACCTTCATGTTCAGCTCACATGTATGCTGTGCGAAGCACGCTGCCAGGTCGCAGACAACGATGTGAGGATGATCATGGAAGAGGTCAACATTTGCCACTTTGTCCGCATAGGTATTCCCTCGGGAGTGTGCGAGCAGTCTCGGCCAAAGTCACTGCTTGAACCAGCTGCTCAGAGCAGTCGCGTGTTAGGTGACACGACACTTGTAACAATTCAAGAGTTCGGCCAAGCTTTGAGTCTTGCCTGCAAGCAGGTGCTGGTTTCGGGCCCCAGGTATGGCAAAGTCTTAGGCCATGTTTATTCGCGTTCTTCGGGTGGAGGATTGCAGGCAGCTTCTTCATGAGTGGTGCTTCCCGATTGCTTCATCGGAAGAGCAGTCCACGCAACGGTCCACCGAGGATCTTGCTCGAGTTTCCTACGGCACGACAAGAGAAGCACCGCTTGAGTGAACCGCTCTTAGCTCTTGGCCTTGGCTTTGTTTCATTTTTGCGCAGGGCCGCATCGGAAGGATAGGACCATGCAAGAGAAGACTCGACAGGCGATGATCAGCTTTACTGCGACTCTGACGTGGTTGCTGGTTGGTGCTCTGTGCCCTCGGCACCAAAAGTCTGCGAAACACAGTGCGCTGTTTCTCATAGGCGCTTGATTGTCAAGCCGTGAGAAGTCTTGCTGTGGCAGAGCTTCCAAAGTCGGTCATGGCTCACCTTGGCACTTCGTCTGTTCTGCCTGGAAGCCCCGCTGAAGCCAGACTGTAGCATGTGCGTTTGGATTCTTTCTGAAAGCACGGAGTAGCGCGGGGAGGGCGGAAACAAGCGTGCCCTTTGCTGCTTTGAGGTGTTTCCAGGAGATCGAGAGCTGGAGCTTTATCGAGCCACTGCAGCAGGGAGCTGAGCTCACGGAGTGGGGCCCGGGCCCGAGTTGAGCTGAGGAGTCTCTGTGGTTCTGTTGGGAGACACTCATGACCATCGGCTTGGGTGACCTCGTGCCCCAGACAGTGCTGGGCCGCAGCTTGGCGCAGTTCTTCGGTCTGGGTGTTTGCAGGGGCATCCGTAGCAAACAGCCATCTCCAGTAATTCTGGCCGTCATCCAGCTTGTGACAAGCTCCGGCACGGTCGAAATGGTTGTATCTGCTTGGGCATGCTGGGAATGGGAAGGGTGAATGACTTGCCTTCTTTCGAGACCCGCCTCGGGGTAAATCGGTCAATCAGCTCGGAAGTATGCCGAGGATGGCTGAACCTTGCGTACAGCTTCTTGGGCCTTGGATTCATTTCCGTTCTGCTCCAGCGGCTTGGCCTCTGAGACCGTCACCGCGGAATGTGTTTCGAAGTAGATGCTCGTTTCTGGGTTGTGAAACCCATTGGAGCCCGTGGTTAAAGTGTCAAAGGAGCGTGGTGGACCTTCTGTCGAAGCACAGCTCCATCATCGGGAGGTTGGAAATGCGGATATTGGAGGCGCATGGCATCGCGTGGCCGTCGTTTGAGGGGTTGTCCACCCGAGTACCCTCGCCAAAGCTGAAGCCTCGGGAGGCGGGCTCGGCTTCAACACCTTCTTTCAAGCACCTGAAGCTGCAGCAGAAGGTGGTGAGAAAGCGTGCCCCGGCATACCATGTATTTCGCTGCATTTTGTCAAACGAGCTTTGCCGCGCTGTTTCTGTGCAAGCAATCGTAAGTCTACACCGCTCAAGCGTGCATCAACGCCTGACAGTAGGCCACTAGGCAACTTATGCACATGCTCACTGAGGCGTGAGCGGCACGGCTGCATTCAGCTCGGAGGATGCTGACAGATCGGACCATGGCAGGGAGATGTTCGGTGACATGAGTGTTTCGGACAACTCGACAGGATTTGTTAGATTCGGCTAGGTGCTGCTGACACTACGGCCGGTAAGCCGCGCAGTTTCGAGTCTGGCTACGACGCCTGTAGCAGTGCCTTCAATGCCCTCCCTCTGCCCTAACACCACTCGCCACAGCGACGGCCAAGGTCTTTTGCAGGCAGGGGCGGCCATCAACGTATGCGCTTGTTTCCTGAAGTTTTGCGACTTGTGAACATAGGAGGTGTATTTGTCTGGATTGTTTTTTGTGTTTATTTTTCTCAGCTTTGATTTTGGTTTCCCGTTCTGCCTTCTTCGTTTGCTTGCTTCTCGCTTTCTGCCTGTTTTTCTCCTTGCTTTTCTGCCTCTCTCATTTTCTGCTATTCTGGTTCGCTCTTCTGCTTTATCGCTTTTCAGCTTTTCCTCTTTTCTGCTTTATTTTTTTTCCACCGGTCACCCTCATCCTTGCTGTCCGCCCTTCTGGGTTCATTCTGCTCCGAAACATTTTTCTTGGCCAGCTGACCAACTAGGGTATGCATGGGGTCTACCTGGGCATAGGATCGTTAGTTGGCTAGGGCTGTTGTCAACGAAGCTGTGTTCCATGGGCTGATAGTTGTTTCTGGCGCAGGGATGGCATTTGTTTGACAACCTGATACAACCTGTACATCGAGCGAATCGGCTGGGAGTGCTGATCTTCAGTCTGAAGTCTTGTACTTCCAGTTTCTGTACAGACCTTGCCTGGTATCGTCCAAGTGTAAGCATTTGAAATGACCTGACTGAGCACGGCCAGCTTGGGACTGTGGGAGTAACGTGATGTTGAAGGATAGCGTGCACCCGGCCACAGTTGGAGCTGCTCTGGGAAACAGAATGCGTTATTCAAAACAGGCGAAAAATCTTGAATTCGTTCTCGCGCCGTTGTGAGCCTTGCAAAGATTGCGAAAGTCAAAGCCGGCCGCTCCCTCATAGCCGGGAGTCGGAGCAGTGGGAACTTGGTCCGAGAAGGCTTGCTCCCTAGGCTTCACAATGCGCCATCACCTGCAGTCTTGAGGATGCACAATCTCCACACATGTTGTGCTTACAATTTTCGGGCTGAAACGAAGTTGGAGTCTTGCTTCCAGTTTCTGTAGGTTTTAATTGCCGAACACTTCTTGCAGATGAGGTGTGGGGTGTTGAGGTGCAGCAGTCTCTGACTGTTCGTGTCATGCGCTAGCCGCTAGGAGAGAGATATCTCAAGGCAAGTCCTTTTTTTTGTTCATGGTGGAGGCCGAGCGATCCATCGTCCTTAGCGGCAACAGCCCCAACCAGACAAACCGGTCGGATGCTGGTCGCGAACAGGATCGCTTTTGCTCCTGCTGTCCTGAACCCTAGAGCCTAATTAGAGGGAAAAAATTAGAGTGCCTAAGAATGGAAGCGGCCCAGTGCGCGAGAGTAAGACTTCACCCTCAAGCCAAGAGCGTGCAACGACTGCAATCTCGCAGCTGGGGCCGCGCGCCGTTGTTACTGTTGCGAAGGTCTTCCCTTGTAATGCAGGATCAACTAGCTATTCAACTGTTCTCGTGTAGTTATGATGCCTTATGACGTGCAGCAGTAAACTCATCTTTGCATCGTACATGTTATATCGTGTCATAATTGGTTGTATTGTGTGGTCGGCCGTGACGTGACATGACCTGCCGTAGATGTATTTCCCTTTGACTCGCGCACTCGCGCGTGAGAGTGCTTACGTGGTCTCAGGCAGTGTTTTCTGCTTCTGTAAGATTCTTATTAGTTTTTTTCTGGTTTAGTCTAGCTGTGTTATACGTATGCATGGCAGGCAAGTGTTTTCTACGTGTGTAATGTGTGAAGATACCATTAGCCGAGGATCCCATCTCACCGTCGGAGGCTGCAAGCATGCCAAGCCAGACGGATGACTCCCTGGAAGGTTGGTTGTCGGGATTTGTCGGGTTCCGGGATAGTTTGGCTGTTTTGCATCTTTAGGAGAGCTGTTCTCTCTGCACGTCGGCTTTCTTTGCAGATTTTCATCCCTGTCTCCTGTTTGCCCAGCCTTGATTCTGAAGGCTCTGAAGGATGGCCTGCGGATCCTCCAGGCGCAATGTGAGACCATAGCAGGGTTATGACGGAGAAGGGTATATGCACATATATATGCATATGTATACATATATATATATATATATATTATATGTTATATATTATATATTATATACTATATATATATATATATCAATAATCACTTTCTGCTATGACATGCGTATGCGCAAGTATCTAGTCTTGTGGTTGATTCTGCGGGCACTTGTTCGTATGTCATGTATGTAATGTGTGCTATGATTACGGTGATGATGGTGACGGTGTCCAGGGTCGTTGTTGAACAACTGAGTCACCAATGCTAGATTCGATGTTCTGGCTGAACTTGGTCCACAGTGGTGTGAATGCATGCTTTACAAGCACACCCAAAACAAGCAAATATGTACGTCACGAATACATACGTAAGCATAGCACGAATGACCAAAAGTTGCAGCAAGCGGATAGGTGATTAAGATATGAATAGCGCACATTCGGACAGAGATGTGCTGTGTGCAGGCAGGGCTAGTGTTTCTGTTGCTTTTTCCCTAGACTTCCTGCCCCAGACTTCCTGCCATGCAACGCTGTTTTGATGATTACTGGTATGCCGCAGGTCTAAGGCTGGCTTATCTGCAATTGAAGTTTGTCATAACTTGGACTCAGCGTCGCACATCCGTCATGGGTCTTGGGGGGGGGGGCAGTATATTCTATGCAGGGATTACTGGCTGTGCAAGTAATTGAACTGGTTAGATTCGGCTGGGTTTGGTTCTTTTTGATGGACACCCGGTCAAGATGTACGACCTGGGCATAAGAGTCTGATGAGAGTCGGAACCTGCTACATCACCTAGAGGTATGCATGACAGGAAGAGGCTATCGGCTCGTAGCCTGCTGGAGACGGCATGGCATGAACCCGCGACACATCGCGACCCTCTGAAGGTGAAGGTGAAGACGAGTCGACCGGAGTTAGCTGGGAGACTTGGACAGCAAGGTGGCATCAAATATAGGGTCATCGAAATCAATGCAAGAAGCAGTGAATATTCCTACTCAAAGTGCCGGACTGTAATTAGTGGACAATGTCAGCCGAGCCCGCACCGCGCGTAGGGTGTAGGGCACCCTCTTTTTCCAGAGCCAAGCGGTGAGCTTCGTTTCAGAGCTTCAGATGTCAGATTCCGGGCTCCTGGCTCCCATCTTGTGTTACGTTGTTTCACGTTATGTTATGTGATATCATGCTATAAAGAAACAGTTCTCTATGATGTTACCTATATGTTACCCTAAATTGGACTATATCATATGGTAGAGAACGGAAGCTGAGGTCCGCATCTAGTGCAAGGACAGGCAGGAGCATAAGCCCACTGAGAGTGGTCTGCTGTGCCTGCGCAGACAAGCATCTGGCTTTTTTGGCAGTGTCAACACCTGTAGTTCGCTGAGCTGCGGGAAACCCAGCTCCGTTTCACTTCTCGAGCGGACAAAGCCCGCTCTAGGGCGCAAGTGGGCGACAGATGTATCATAAAGGTGCAAGACAATCTATGAAGTCCATGAAGCTGGTGCGTGTTGTGGAATTATGTGGAACTGTGAGAAACCCATTGTGCGGGGCTCTGCAGCCTGTTCACGAACTCACCCCCAGACCTGGCTTCTGGGAAGTTTGGAGAGTGTAGACGTGCACAGGCTCGCAGAGCGCAACTTGGGCCTCAATGGCTTGGCATCTACGGGTGCTCCGCAGCAGAAGGCCCCTCAAAAAAGTTTGAAGGTCAGACTGGTAATTGCCAGCCCTGACCGCCAATCCACTACCCAGCCTCACAAGCAAAAGCAAAAGCAGTCCGCAGGCTTCTTTCTTTGTGCTACGCCTGTCTGTAAAGTTCTCAGACTTGGCAGGTCGAGGACTCGTAAGAGCGCGCATGAACAGAAGAAATGCTGTTTCGTTTGCAGTAGATGGCATCAGAGGTTGCCAGAATAGTTAGAAATTCTTCAATGCACCCACATCGGATACGCAGCGTTCCAAGCAACGCGCCAGACCTTGCCTGGGCCCTGGGTGGCTTATAAGTGCAGTGCTCGTCGCCCGCGTGTGAATTGACTCAGTTCCTTGGCAGTGAGTCCTTACTGACGGATCTTCCAGCATGGTGCAAAGGGATGATGGCAACCATTGGGCATTGGGCGTAACTCGTGGTCTGCAAGCTTGGCAACGACACTTATTCCGAAGCGCGATCTACCGGCGCCATTTATCAGAAGAAACCATAGTGAACGAACGCGTTTTGTATGCAGATCACGCCCAAGAGAGTACAAATACCAGGCAGAATCGAGAAGTCTAAATGCACTTCATGCTTGTAGAGTGTCCCATGAGAACACAAGATCACCCGTGTGCCGCGGCACCGCGATTCGTGTCTGCGTGTAGAGTGGCGCATTGCGCGATGCGGCCCAAGCGAGCCTGATGGAGCTTCCATGCAGCTCCCGACTCTGCAGTTGGGCCCTCCTGAAGACGGATGGCAGGAGGCTCCGGGTCTTCTGTGGCTCACGGCTCACGTCCTTCGGAGCAGAGTCTGAGCAGGCTCTCGTGCACCGGCTTCGGAGTGGAGCAAACGTAGGCGAGGCTGGCATCCGGCATCCCTGCTTCGACTGTTAGCGGTTAGCGCAAACGGGCAGGAGCAGGGGCTGGTTGACTACCCGTCCCATGCAAGGCGTAAGGCATGTCGGCTTTCGCGATTGAGCTCCTGTCAGGGGGGCAGCCATCACGTGTGGATCTTGCTGATGTCCCCGAACATTCTCTGGCTGAGAAGCTCGACGACAAAAACGATTGTTGGATTTTGACGACATCTGGCTTTGTCATAAAACCAACCAAGTTGCATACTGCATTCATTGCCTACAGACGGGGTGCTTTTGCTCGTGGTGCTCCGAGGACGTGGTCGTGCTACGTCGAGGTGCTGAAGCACTGCACAGCATCCCGTCTGTAATACGGGACCTCTGGAACCTTGCATCGAAAGCAACATCGAAAGCCTCAGGAAAGCGTCTAGAGATCAAAGAGGCAGCGAATCAGAGCAGCAGCCGTAAGGGGGAGTCTCCGTCTCTTCGGAGCCTTTGCCCTCTCCGTCAAGAGCAAACTGGGCTCGAACGATTTCAAGTTGAGACACGTCTGTCAACCCTGCCTTCAAGTTGAGGGTTTTCCACGTTGCGAAGGAACCAGCTCTCGAAACTCCCAAGCTGCTTCCCAAGACCTGGTCCTGAGCCGCCTTGAACTTCATGCGCGGTGCCCTCCTGCACCACCGCCCCCCCCTCTGGTCACTCTCTCTCAGGCCGCTTGGGCTTCTGGCCCGGAGCGGCTTCGCTCCCTGCACTTGGGCCGTGAGGCCGCGACTTCGGTGGGCGGCCCGGTATCGGGGTTGCTGATGGGCTCAGAGCTTCGGATGGAAGGTTGGACATTGCATCTTGCAGGACGCTCTCTTGCTCTTACTGTTCGCTTGCCATGATCAGCACGGCCGTCCGAAACCAGGAGTCATAAGGCAGAGTCATAGATGAAAGCGCAGAGCCAGGAGCCGTGGATCCTGAATATCCTGTTTGACCCGGCCCTGGGGTATTCCTTGTAGTACGCCCCACAGCAGGCCGCAGCCCTGCAGGAAGGAGTTGCATGGAGAAGGATGACGATCACACTCGTAATGCACACAGTGCTTCTGCAGCTAGGGCTCAGCTAGACCCTCTTATCATGGATGTTTGTCTCAGCGGGCCGCCTTTCTGCCTATGGTCTGGACATGCCTGGACAGAAACACACCGCTTGCTGCATGCTGTTTGTCTCGTGATCTCCTTTGGCCCAATAGCTGAATCCCACATAGATGCATCGACTTAGGGGCTTATGCATGGTGCATCTAGCCAGCCGCTCTCTGAGGTCCTTTCGCTGAACCAGCTGCTGGCAGCGACTCCCGACCTGCAGCCTTTGATCCAACGATGGCGCTGGACCGAGTTCTCCCATTTACAACTTCTACTCCGTATGCTGTAATCGGAGTCAAGGTACTTCTTTCGAGTAAAGCTGCTTCCAAGAAGTGCCCGCTGCGACCTGACTAGAACGAGAGGAGGGTGGTCTCGGAGAACCCCCACCACGAGTTGAATGCCGACGCCCCCCCTGAGACGCTCTCAGAAGTGGAAGAGCGGCAGCCTGGTCTGAAGGCTCCTTTAAAGGGCACTACATACGAGGCGGTATATTGCAAAAACGGGCCGTAAGCATTAATGATTAGAATAAGCTTGCCGAGTTTCTCTTGGTGATCTGACTTGAAATCAGTGTGGTGTTCGGTCTTAGATCTGTCGCCCCTAGCCGTGGAGAGGATGTTGCATCTGAGGCTCTACAACCACTACCAAGCCAACTGGTTCCACACTGAATCGGACAGCGGGCGGCTAATAGAGTCTTGAATGCAGGTTCATAGCTCTCGGCCCTGGCTGCTCATGTCCTGAGCTCACCAACACCTGAATCTCCTGGATGTTCCTCTTTGCTGTTCAGCTTGGCAAACGCAGACGAACGCAGATCCAAGGAGGGGGACTCCTGGAATGCCAAGCAGTATTTCTGGTGGTTCGGTCTGGGCCGGCCCCTGTGTGGGTGTGCGATGTCAGTGTGTCCATCTCTTCCGCTAAGTCTGCAAGCCCCCCCGTCCCCCTTCTAGTTGCTAAACTTCCTGCCCCCGGCAAGAATCATGTAGTACTAGGGGTCCAGTATGCTGCTTATGTCTAGCCCCTGCGTGTTGCAGTCCGCATTCGGGGTTACAGAGGGCTGGCACGTACTTGGATTGCTTGGTTAGATTGTCGGATGCCAAACCGTTGCCGTCCTCCATCATTCATATTATTGTTATTATTGTTATTACTATTTCTATTGTTATTACTAGTATTGTGATTAACAGTACCAGCCAGAACTGCAGACAAGTCCTCTGTGCCTAGGTCGTAGAGACCTGGCCGAGCGCCTGGTTCACCTTGCCGTGGCTTCTCCAGCACCGGGAACACAGCACCATCTTGCCGTGACTTTGGCCGCCAGTTCCAGGGCCCAAGGTACTAGTTTTTTTCTGGGTCATAGTCATGATTGCTACTTGTGACATTATGCCTTGATGGCTATGGTCACCGTGATGACCATCGGCTTGCGAGACGGAGATGCGAACAGTATCGTACTTTGGATACGTGCAACCCGTGGTTATGATATAATGGTATCGTATTCAGGACTATTCTGCGACTAGTTAGGCCCCTGTGCTTCGGAATGGTATCGGAACAGGTTCCATGTGGTTCTCCTATCTTCCCTTGCGCATCTTGCGCGATATGCTGCTTCCGTTGTGCCTTCGAAATCTAGTGCGGAGGATGTTGCTGAAATGCATTCCGATCATTCCATACATTGAGAGGGACACCCAGAGTTGGCTGCACTCTGCTGAGACGCAAGGGGCTTTGAGGGGTCGGCCCGCTTCAGGCTTCTTTGGCAACGGTCGTGGCAGCTCTAGGCCAGGGAAATCCTTCAAAGATTCAGTCCTTGTTTTCTCACTGCCGAAGCGGTCTTTGCATGTGCTACAGCTGGGTGCGCTTGAACGCTTGCTGCCAGGAGGTCTGCGCGTGGGTGGATGCTTGATCCTGCACATGCCGCGACGCGGGCTAACGCTTGCCGGACTTGCGCGAGACTGAGACACACAGAGTGGGGCATGCGGTCTGCCGCGCGGTCTGCTCAGTGTTTGGTACCGAGGTGCAGCATCTCTTCCAGCGTTCTGAGCTTGTGGCAGTCCCACGCGGCACTGGACAGTCAGAGGCCAGCTGCTAAAGAGAGGCTCCAGGCTTTTAGCACTGTGCAGTTTTTCCTCCGTTGCCCCATATGCCTTCTGCCGCAAACCTCACCCTGGAGGTTTTCGTGATTGGTTGGCAGTTTCGTGGTGTGCAGCCGGCCCTGCTACAAGCCCTGAGTGGTGCCGTGAGCTGCGCTGCTGCATTTCATCGTAAGAATGTTGGCCAGCTGCCGTAACACGAATGATCCAATATCTTGTTCCTCGCAAGCTAAACTTCAGCCGCTTCAGCTTTGTTTGCCTGAGCAGAAGAAGCAAGCCGACAGGCACGGAAGCAAGCACACACGCAAACCAACCCTAGAACGGCAAGAACACGAAGGCAATATGGCAAGAAGACCTTGCCACCTCTGGCCCCCAGAGATCAAGAGCGAAACGCGAGAGTAGGCAATCCCTGAGATGCTAGATTTTGTTGAATCAAGTTGACTGGACGATGAGTCTCCATGAGTCTCCATTCAAGGGTGAACCTTGCCGTGCTGCTGCTGCTGCTCCTGCTGCTGCTGCTGCTACTACTACTACTTCACTACTACTACTACTACTACTACTACTACTACTACTACTACTACTACTACTACTACTACTACTACTACTACTACTACTACTACTACTACTACTACTACTACTTCACTACTACTACTACTACTACTACTACTACTACTACTACTACTGCTACTACTACTACTACTACTACTACTACTACTACTACGCTACTACTACTACTACTACTACTACTACTACTACTACTACTACTACTACTACTACTACTACTACTACTACTACTATACTATACTACTACTACTACTACTACTACTACTACTACTACTACTACTACTACTACTACTACTACTACTACTACTACTACTACTACTACTACTACTACTACTACTACTACTGTGGGTGACAAAAAAACTACTACTACTACTACTACTACTACTACTACTACTACTACTACTACTACTACTACTACTACTACTACTACTACTACTACTACTACTACTACTACTACTACTACTACTACTACTAGGTGGGTGACAACTACCACGACGACGACTAGTATCGCTGCTGCTGCTGCTGCTGCTGCCAATGTTGATGAGGTTAGGACTTGGGAGCGAGAACTCGAGGCAAAGAGCTCACGTCCAAGCACACGGGGCTCGTGGACGCAGTTCTGGGCGATCCAAAGCTACCAGGCACGCCAGCTTCCCCAAACCTGAGGCTTCTAGGGAACGGTCGGGAAGTCTTGGGTTCGGACGTCTGGGTGACGAGTCTTATCACATCACCACCAGGTGGCACCTAGATTGAGCCAGTTGTACCCCCAATGCCTCCTCCACGCACTTTTTGCCATCAACAGCATGCGGTACACGGTGCCAAGCACATGTGAATCGACTGACTTGGCGGATGGCTGGACATCTCTGGTTCATATCGTGAAGATCGGGCAGGGCATGGCATTCTCTCGTTGCAGGTAGGTTGGAGGCATGGCAGCGACTCCTCGTGGAAGGGCCGTGGTCAGCAGCCAGGACAGCTTCGATCGTTCTGAGTATGCTGACGTGATCGCCGATGCATGCCGATGCTCAGATTTGATGTAGCTTCAGCGAGGACGCCTGCGAAGCCACCGGTGCAACTCCACTTGCTTTGGGGCCACTGCCACGAGTCGCTCCTGCAAAGCCCGCCAGGCCCGCCAGGCGGCAAACGCCAGAGAAGCCTTCAAATTCCCCCGGGTTTGCTGGTGTGCCCATTGCCATGCCTCATATGGTCCGTACACGTGGCGCCTCCGCAGGTGCAAGTGGGACTGGCATGCAGCAGCCCGGCTTCCAAGCCTTGGTTCAGCGACGGCGACGGCTTTGGATGGAGGCCACGCGGCTACCTGCATCCCAGCCTACGCTAATGGCTACAGCTGCCGGCAGCTACCTGCTAGGGTGCTCCACGCACTGCTTTGGCCGGCTTGTGAGTTGATGCCAGGTACCTGCCGTGAAGCGAGCACGACGCGCCCCGTCGCCCTTTAAGGGCGGCCGAAGTTGGTGTCAGGGAGCCTCGGACGAAGTTTAGAGCCTGCGGTTCTGGTTTCGGGGCAAGCTCTTGTCCGAGTTTCCTACGATCTTGTGCCAGCCGGACGTGGATGCCACTCATTACACGCTTGGGCTATCTAGCCATCTCTGCTTCACTCTCACTTCCACACTCACTCTCTGTCTCTCTCTCCCCCTTCCATCGATCGAGCGGTCTACTGACCCATCCATCCTTCTGTCCATCTACACTCTCCACACATGCATACAGGGCATCAGGGGAAGCGAATTTATGTGAAGACGGTTTTCAAGCTGCTGATTCCTAGGATGGCGGCAGATGATGCGGAGCCGTGCCTCGCCTTGGACGTTAGACCCATGCCGTCGGCCCTGCGGCCCTGCGGCCCTGCGGCCCTGCTCTCGGCCCTGGACTGCCAGGAGAAGCTGACCGCGTCCTGTTGCAGACCTTGGAAATCTCTGCGGAAGCCGTGGTGACGGCGGCCAAGCTCTGGTGGAAGGCCCGTGAGAGTGTTGAACTCGTTCATGTGGCAGTAGTGCCTACGGAGGAGATACGGCTGCCACCTCCCTGGGCGCCTCTTGTCGGCAAAGACATGTCAATGCTGCTATGCTGTGCATAGGCTGCACCTTGGCCAGGTCTCAGGGAACCGGTTCAAGTTGTGAGGCCCAAAACCTGGTAGTGCTGTAGCGCAAAGCATAAGTGCTGCATTCTCGGGAGCTTTTCCCCGAAACCTTGCTGTCGCCTCTCCCCCCTCCCCCTTCCCCTTCACCTCTTCCCTCCTTTCCTTGCGAGGTTCGTGCATTCCTCCGTCGCCGAGCCCGAAAAGCTCCGTGCTGGAATCTCCTCTCGCTTGGCAAGTGAAGAGCGCGGAGGTGCTCGAGTTGCTCGGCGCCTCGTCCTGCACGGCTAGGCCCGCTAGGTTGAGGCCTTTCGCCGAGCTTCTGGTTTCTGGTGGGTGATTAGGTTTGATGAAACTACAAAGCTGCAACGCCACACATCTCGTGGTCACAGGTTGTGGGAGGCTTGTCCAAGAGTTGGGAGTGCAGACCATAGTGCTGCAAAGAGAGCAGCTCGGACCGAAGGCTCTCTGACGAAGCTCCGCCACTTCTGGCTGCCTTTGTTGAGCTCCTGTCTTCGTGGCTGCCGAAGCGGCTGGCATCTGAAGGAGGTGGGACCCGTTGGACCGAGAAATCGAGGCTTTTTGGATACTTTCGAGCCTGCCCGGCCGAGCAGGTGAGGCACTGGCGTGCCAGCAATGCTCCATGGCTGCACTTCTGCTGGCTTCACTTCGAGTTCGAAGCAGATCACCACGAGGCTCTGGGGCGCATCTCTGCCGAGGTCTTGTTGTGACACTGCCTGGTGGAGACGAGACCATTTCCAGGTGGCTTCAGAATGCGATGGGCATGTCGCAGTGCCTTGGCAAGGACTGAAGCAGATGCTGTGCTGGATGCAGAGTGAGTCCGCCGAACACGAACGGAGCGTCCCCTCTCGCTTGTCGAAATCACTCAGCTCTCCAGCGTGGGAAGACACAACTTCGATTTGGGTACCAAGTAGGTGACCTTGGGATGTATGGACATGCATTGACGCGGGAGGGCCTGTGCCACCGATTCCCATCCCTGGATGCCTCAAACAGGCTAGGAGGGCATCGGGTGTCAAAGAGCAGAAGAAAAAAGAAAAAAGCAAGACCGCACCGCTAGTAGCCACGGTTCTTCGGAACTCGGAAATGTCTGCAGCACGCGGCAAACACTGCAGAGAGAGAGAGCGAGAGAGAGACCCTCAAGACCCAGTGCGTTCTTGCGTGCGGGCGGGTGGCCGCGGCTACTTCCCTACAAGTAGGCTGTGTGGAAGAAGAGACCCTCAAAATGGAGGACAGGGTAGCGCCTAGGGAGTGGGCTGGGAGGACTGCTCCCTGCTCTGACCCGAAGCGAAGCAAAGCAAAGAGAGAGGCAGAAAGGGACTAAAAGATGATGAAGGGGCACCACATACATCTTCGCCCACTAGTGCTATTATGTCATTACGTTCGTTGTGACACGAACGGTCCCTGGTCTTTGCCGAAGAAGACAGAGAGACCCGCTTTCGCAGGGTCAGGGGTCGCTCCCCTGGCCTTAACCCTGACAAAACCGGAGAGTAGAAGGGAAGGGGGAAGGGGGTGCCTAGAGCGCGGGTCCGACCCTGCTTGGACTCATACCCCTTCTGAGGAAGGAAGGACCTCTAGCAAGGCAAAGCAACCCAATGACATTCGCTCCGAGCCTGCCAGCTGTGGCTTGCCCACCCCTACCTTTGCCAAGCTTGTCCGAGGGCACGGACCCTGCAAGTGCCGTCCGCGCGGAGCTCAGTTTGGATGTCCTTGCCCTCGTGTCATCGTGTGCCTCATGTTGAGAGGATGGTGCAGATTCAGAACTTGCAGGAGGTCCAGCCGCCACCGCACCATGACAATCTAGCTCCGGGCTGCAGTTTTCGAGAGGTCAAGCAAATTTGGTACTCGTGGAGCTTTGCCAGACTCCAGATGCACATCACACTTGTGAGCTCGTGGGGGGCTCGGGCATCCACAAATCCACTTTGCGGTGCCTTTTGCCTTACTTCATGCTGCTGCTACAACTCAGCCTCAAGCAGCATCTCAATGAGCCGATGCGGCGAGCACTGCTTCACTGCTTCGTTCAAGCACCTGTTCGCTGAGATGGACCGTGCATGGATTCATTGTCAGTGGGAGCATCCCAACATGTTTTAAGCCTGTTAAGTCTACTGGACGCTTGGTCCACTCGTCCTTTGCGATGGAGTTCTGACGGTGTGGAGCTGCAGCCGCTAGCTGGCGCGATATGCGTAGCTTTGCGTGGAGCTGGCGACGTGGCAGGACCGGAAACTCATCGCGTCGCATGTTGTACTTTCGGTTTTGTTCCGCGATCCTGTGCGTGCTGCCTCGAGTACCTCTAGAAAAGTTTCCGAAAAAATGTTCTCCGCGCCTGATGCATGGTCGCTGCTCTCCAAAGGCTGCTGGTGATCGTCTCGGCCGTCGCATCTACCTGGCAATGGCTGTTCACACCCTCGTTTCGAAGGCTTGGTGAGCTGGCGGAAACATGTTTGCCAGCATGTGCGGCACAAAATTTATCATGGCCTGAGCACTGGGATGCGTTCCACTGTTTTGGCTTCGCGCAAAACCACGAAGGAGTTACCAAGCACGCTGACCTTCCGAGTCTGGGTTCAGAACACAGACATGACACCCCAAGTAGCGCATCTGAGCTCTCCGTCCAACCCTGACCTGGACTCGAAGACAGGTTCTAAGACATCAAGCGCACCTCTTCCTACTTCCTACTCCCCGCTCCACCACGGGCTCCACAGTAACCACAGAGCTTTTTCAGGGGCGGAGGCGGAGCGCTGGCTCCCAGGGTCGCGCTCTGTGCCTCGTCCAAGGAGAAGCGTTCGGAGCCTCGGAGCAAAAGGAGCTTCGGGATGGCTCTGAAGGGCGACACTTCGGCCGGCCCCAGATTGACAGTGCACCTGTGTTCTTTATGCTTAGGCCCAGGATCGGATCACCCCAAGGGATCATCAAGCAATGGAAGCATTTGCATCCCAAGTTCTTGCGGCTTGCATGCAGCTGAGCTCAGGATGTTTACGAAAGCTTCCTGATGAAAGCTCGGTCTGAAGGTGTTGACGAGGCCCTTAGAAGGGAGCTAGGCTTTGCAGTCTGCTGCCCTGCTTACAGACAAGGGAGCTATTGCTTTGGTGCGGGAGGCCTTGCGCTATGCATCCTCGGCAATGCCTAAACGACTCTGTGCCTCGGCCCGGGAGAGGAGCTTGCAAAGGCCAAGGCTTCCTTTTTCGACCCGTGTGCAATGTCTCCATGTGGATAGTTGTCAAAATTATGGCCCCTTTTTGGGTACCGTAAATACTTGGCGCCGTATTATAATCAGGACCCAATCTTAAAAAGGGCCCCTAATTTTGACAACCACCCATGTATCAGAACCGTAAGCGCAGATGCCACACCTTCCACTTGACTGGTGCTCCGCTGTGGCTTGTTCAGCCCAGTCATGAAAACGGCTACCAGTACCATTTCCCCGGCGCCGTATCTTTCTGCTAAGTTACCAGCAGGTAAGTTGAGGGGTCGGCACATCCAGGTAACTTGTTAAACTTCGCATGCATCGATGTGGGAGTTACAAAGTCAGCACAGGCCCGTAGAAACTCATCGGCACCGGCACCCTTCCTAGACCGTTTTGATTGCAGGTTTGAATTTCTCGGAGCTGACTCTCGGCTGCGATGGCCTGCTTGGCGAGTCCCAGCTCAGGGTCTCGATTGTGCGCCAGATGCCGAGGAAGCGAGCGGCCGAGTTCATGGCCAGCATTCAAGACGATGAAGTCAATGAAAAGGCCTCCCGGCAACGTTTGACCTCCCGTTCTTCGATACACAGGCGCCCAATATTTACAATATTATCGTATAGTAGAATATAGTACGAATAGTCGGCCCCTCATAACAGCCAAGGCTTCTGAAGCGGTGCAGGGTCTGGAGGCTGATCGTCCTTGGGAGCTACAGGTATGCACCAAGTGTCTGAGGAAGAAACCAGGCGGGGCGGGGATGTGGAGCATTGGAGTGCTGGAGGTTTGACAGTGTGAAGACATCCCAAGTCCGGACTCCAACACATTGAGACTGCACATTAAGAGGGCATACCGAAGGTGAGTGTGACTGCGCCGATGTCATGGACCGGTGCTCTGCATCCCGCAGTTTTCAAGAGTGTCGCAGTGCTCTGAGTTGACTTCGTCAAGGCCAGCAGCCTTCATAGCCAGGTTAGAGCCCGAAACCAGTGTTTCAGCAGCAGGTATCAGCAGCATGTCCCAGCCCAAACTAGAAGCAAGAGCGGCACATCTCGGTTTCGTTTCACCCTCCACAAGCAATGCGACCTGCAGGGACTGGAGCCTCACAAGCTTCCAGGTCGAGCTCTACTTCCAATGCCTTCTGGAACCCCTACAATCACCCGAGTGAGACAAGCAGCCGATCCAGCTGTGATGGGGAGGAGTCGAATCATCCCGGGCTCAAGGAGGAAGGGAGAGGGGCAGAAGATGAAGTCGAAGTGTTGCCTCCCCCCGGCGGATTCCTTTGTCCGGATGATGGCTATTTCGAAAGGCGATCGGATGACAGTGATTCGGAAGGCGAGGACCAGGAGCAGACGGCTACGAGAGAGCCGCAGGTAAACCATGTAAACCTATATCCTGCGGAGCTCAATGAGCCCGGTCGTGTGCAGCCCGTAACCGTGGGGCCATGCAAGGCAGGATACGCAGGTGCTCTGAACCCTGGGGCGCCTGGGGCCCCTGTCGCAGAGAAGGCACCAGCCATACCCTGTACTCCCGGCCGGGTATTCGATATGTCCAGGGAGAAGAAAGGGCGAGTCTGGCAAAAGCCGCTGCCTCCTGGAGCAGTGAAGCCTGATGAGCAGTAAAATCTTCAGCTTGCGACCGTCAAGGTCCAAAGCTTCTAGATTTCTCGAGTGTACAGCTCACGACATCTTCCTCCTGACCGCCGTCCGTGTAATAGAGGGCGGACGGGGAGGTGGCACGGGCATGCAGCCTGGGAAACGGTGTCGGTTGACATGCTGCAGTCAGTGAGAAATAAGTTGCCACCCTACACCAGGCCAGTACTGCTCTGTGTGTGTGTATGCAATAATGTATGTGTGCGCCTTGGATGGTGAGGCTTTGACACTCTTGCGAGCTTGAGGGATCTTCAGCTGGCACAGGGAGACTCGCAATTGAGACTTGGCTTGCGTCTCGATGCGCCCTCGTCCCTCCGCAAACAGTCACCCGTGCCTCCAGGATCGTGGAACCTGTGGGCTGCCTGAAGGAATGAAGCTTGGCAGCATGGCACAGCAGCGCAGACTTGTGGGCAGTGCCGTCGGAATGCCGTGTGAGGCAGGCATGGGCCGAATGTGAGGGCAGACGCTCGGTGTGATTTGTATACACCGGATGCTGCAAACCTGTCGACCCGCCCCGCTCGGAAGGTGAGCCCCGACAACGATTACCCCGCATTGACCGGGATGTTACCAGAGGCCGCTTTAGCATCAGCTTATGTTGCTAGCCACTCAGCCAGCGCAGGAAGTCGAGGCTCGATGCTTTCGGCACGTGAACGAGACCGCCGCGGCGCACAGCCCAGCAGTGACACAGACAAGCTATGCGTATGTATGTATGTATGTATGTATGTATGTATGTATGTAGGCTATATAAAGCAACGTAATATTAAGCAATGCGGGTGGAATTGCATTGGTCCCAATCACTTGGCATCTCTACGACGAGAAAACCCCAAACACGGAAGCAACAGTCGAAACAGGGGAATGTAATAGAGAAGACGCCCCAGCACATTACAGTAAAATGCCTGCCCACGGTTACAGGGAAGGGGATCGGCCTGTAGCGCACACTGCTGCCGGTCGTAACGTGGAAAGCTTGCTGATCTCAACCCCTGCTTCCTCAAACCTTTCTGCAAGTCAAGCCCACATGTCTTTGTCAAGCATCCTTGACACTCCGCCGTAGCCGGGCCGACACCCTCAAGCTGACTTCTTGTAGCGTTCGGAAAACATACCGAAGTACGGCCTTCTTGGTTCCGTTTGCAGAAGCAGACAGTTCTCTTGACTGGATTGATACTAAAGGTAGGTCATTTTGATCTTTTTTTGGTCATCTGGGTCTTTCTATTCGTGATGCTTCTGGTCTTTGTCCGTTTTTGTGTTTACCGCAATAGTGTGCATCTGAGTATTTGTGATTTTCTTTTGTGTCAGTCTTCGTTGCAGTGTACATACGCTACCATTTCCGAAGGCAGACGGCATTGGTCTTCTTGCAGCTTCAAGCAAATCGGATGCTATCGAGTGTTGAGGTGCTTTGAGTCAAGTTGGGGGGCCTGGATGTCCCAGACCGGAAAACCTTCAATCCGTGTCTGAGCACAGAAGCCCTTACCTCTCCAATCCCCAGACACCGAAAGGCTTAAATGCCTAATGTACAAGCCGAGAGCATTACCAAAATTAGACGAACTTAATCCCTACACCCTCAGCCGTAAACGTACGACTAAACACCACTTGCTCAAAGCATCGCAGGCTTGGCAAGGGCACATAATCTTGAGGGGTACTAGGATGTGATTTGCAATGTACTTGGCGCGGTAGGCCTCAAAACCTTGATACGTGCACTGTTTTACATGCGTGCACGTATGCCCTTGAATCCTGTGAACCATGCCCTGCATGTCGGTCGACAGCACTTGACACAGCATTTGGGTTTGCAGCCCCTCTAAAGGCTTGTTTCGGGGTTACGCTCTCCGACCTTCCTCGTTACTCTGCGGACTCCGTTCCTTGTTTCCGGCCGGAGTTTCCCCGTTACAGCCCAGCCGTTCTCTGATTGCCTTTGCCCGTTACGCCCCACCCCTTTCCCTGTTTCGCTCCTGAAACTCTCTACGACTTGGTCCCCTGCTGAGGCGCGGCGAGTTTTCAATTCTGTCCGCCAGGCGGTGATGCTGAAATCAGGCCACCTGTGGTTTGGTGCCGGATTATGCTCTCCCTGCTCCCAGTCATAGTGACAACTTATGAGATGTACTTGTTGGTTGATTAGGACCGTCAGGGCTTACTTTGTTGCCATTTACTGGTTGTTTGTTGCCGATGTTTTTTTGATTGCTGGTGGGAGTGATCGAGCCAGTGCCAATCAGTGCCAGGCGGCTCGTCCAGACCGGCTCGCGACGAAGGACCGAGTTCGAGCTCGCATCACTCTTGCAAACGCCCGCATTCTAACAAAAAGCATGGCCCCAAGACTCCTTATTGGAGTATTGTGGGCGATTGTGAAATGTAGTGATGCTTTTAAGCCCCCACCTGAAACGACACACCTTCAACAGGCCACGTCTGGAGCTTGCAAGACTGAGCATCCGAAAGTCTTAAAGCCTTTGCAAAAGGAGCGCAGCCCAAGCTGGATGCGACCGTGAGCCCCATGGACAGCTCCACCAAGGACTCGTGCTGAACGGCCGAGGGATCAGGCCAAAGGGCAAAACATTTCGGAGCGGCTTGCTACGAGAGGCGAGAGCATGATTTTGGTGGATGTTGCGTCGGGGCCCTGCTTGTTTCACCCGCCCTTGCTGAAGGAGAGGCAGAGAAGAGGCCGAGTCCGAAAATCGCTGGAGAATCGAATGACCAACATCCTGGAGGGCTTACCAGTGCCTCGGCCGATGCACGGACCCAGGTGCTTGCACAGCAGGCATCTGCCTTCTGAGCTGAGCAGCTTCGATACAAATGCCCATTCCCTTGACGAGGTTCGATTTTCTGGGGAAGACTTGCTGTGAAGCATGCAGCGGCAGAGCTGTAGAATGAACAGCCGCTGCACAGAAACGATGCCGGTTTGTGAATGTCAAGCCCTTGTCCTGTACATAAGCTCAGCCGGTTGATTACTGCCAAAGGAAGCATCTGCAGGTAATCGCCATGGTGATGTAGGCCGCTTGCACCCCGGTGCGGCGCAGACCCCGATGTTGGGAGAAGAGCTGCTTGAGTGCGTGCCGGGCGTGCCGCGTGCCAGCTGGTAGTCCTCGCGCCGGCCTGCCTCGGAGACTCACTTCCTTCCGACTCCGCTGCTCTTTGTGACCTCGTCACTTCGCCAGGCCGGCTTGGAGTGCCAGGCAGCCTGGCGCCGGAGCCCCCAAGACAAAGAGAAACAGCTGCCACTCTTCGGACGTTCCGACCGACCGCTGAAGTCTGAAGGTCGAGATGCCATCGGGGTGCCAGTCTAAGGATGGCGCTGCAGATCTGTGGGTCAAAAATCTCGCTTCTGTGCTCCTCTCTCCTGCTCTTGGGGAGCGCTCCGTGTTGGAAGCCCAAGGCCATTTCGCTTGCTCTTCGCGCTGTGGCTGCAGGACGAAGATGGCTCATGCATGCCCATGGTGTTTGACCTGTGTCGCATGTGCTTCTTCGAAGCGCGCACGAGTTGACATGTTCCCTTCTTGCCTGAGCTTGATGCATCATATTCGGCAAGCCATGCCTGCTTGGGCAACATCTTTGTTGTTGCCTTGCAGATTGCTGTTGTCATTGGATCCCGCCTTCCGCCTTCCTTTTCGACAGTCGCTTCCGCTTCATTCCTCCCTTCGGTGTCTTGTGTCCTTGAGTTCAACACCGTGAATGCAGTCGTACATTAAATCAAGAACGATAGTGGTGATTGGCCAACCCCCCCTGTCACCGTCCGTCCATCCATCCATCCATTCGTCGGCGCTGAGCATGAGGAGGCAGTGAAGGCATAAAGTTTCATGATTTCCCGAGGAGGCTCCCACCTAATTTTATTCTTGACCTGCGTCCGCCCAGAAAACACCGATTTGCCGAACTCTGTCGCAGCAGTCTTGACTGTCTTGAAGCCAGGAGGTGACATGTTCTTGCAGCTGCCGAGCTTGCTCACACGCTTCACCGCAGGGGCTTTCTGCCTAAGTTTACCCGTCTCGGTATGCTTCAGTATTTTGTGTGAGGAATCTGCTTCAGTTCCTCGCAAGTCCGCTTAGCGAAGGCAGTGCTGCCGGAGCGGCTGTATTGTGATACAGTGCCGCCAGGTGGTTGCTCTGCTGGCCGTCAACTTCCGCTGGGTTGCGCTTGCGCACGAGACGGTTGGGGGCTGAGGGTGATGAGAGCTCTCGCGTGCCTAAGTGCTGGAGGTGCAATGGGCGAGGTTGCCAGAAAATTGTAGCATGCCTTTGACAGCCTGAGAGCTTGATGCAGCTGCACAAGTTTCATACTCCTCTCTTCATGTGGCAGTGAAGAAGAAGAGCGCTTGATGTGTGCTAAGATCAGCTCCGCACATGGCTGCGTTTGGCTGATGTGCAACTCGCACGCCTCAGACTTAGCTCAACGGAATGTACTCTCGACGCTGCAGCAGGTGGTCGTTGCGGATGTTCCTGTGTCGCCTGCATGATGCAAAATCTTCTTCTCCATTCCTGCCTGTCCAGCACAACGGGCAGCGGCCACTTCCGCCACCACTGCCAGCGCCAACAGCCAGCGCAAGCAGCAACAGCACCAGCTGCTGCAGCAATAATAGGAGTGAACAGCAATAACAACAACAACTGCAGCAGTAGCAACAAGACCTACGAACAAGACTGACAACGAACACGGCGTCGACCACCACCACCACCACCAACAACCACCACAAGAGCCAACAACAACCGGCAACAAGCAACTAGAAGCAACCAAGAACTAGTAACTAGCGACAACAATTCACAGAAACACAATGTAACCACAGCAAACAACAACTACTCGTAGCACCTAAGAAACAACTCCAAACAACAACACTCAACGACGCCCCACGGCACATACCGACACCCGACCACAACCAACAATAAACGACGACGACGGCAACACCGAATCCGCCACCGACAACGACCAACAACCACAGAAACGACAACAATCAGGACGACAACTTCAAACAACCCCAGCAACCACAACAGCAACAACAACAGCAGCAACAACAACGCCAACACCAGCACCAGAACCAACACCGACAGCAGCAGCAGCAGCAGAAGCAGCAGAAAACAACCACGAACAACACAACTGTAAGACTAACCCCAGAACAACCACATCAACCGCACCTCCACCAGCAACAACTACCAAGTACTACTCCTGCTGCTGCTGCTGCTGCTCCTGCTCCTGCTGCTGCTGCTACTACTGCTGCTGCTGCTACTGCCACTGCTGCCACGACTTGTTTGGGTTTCTTTCTGTGGTACTATGTAGGCTTCCTTGTGACTTGCTTATCGTCAAGACCCCGCGGAGCTGTCATAGGCGTGCCATGTGGGTGACAGAAACTGCCACCACTGCCACCACTGAAGTGCTACTGCTACTACTGTTATTAATATTGCCACTGCCACCACTGAAGTGCTACTGCTACAACTGTTATTAATATTGTCACTACTGCGACTACTACAACTAATGCTGCTGCTACTACCACGACCACAGCTACTACTGCTGCTGCTGCTGCTGCTGCCACGACCACTATCCCTACCACTATCGCTACCACTATCACCACCACCACCACCACCACCACCACCACCACCACCACCACCACCACTACCACTACTGCCACTGCCACTGTACACCACAACGACGACGACTACTGGTACCACACTGCCACTACCACTGCCAACACCACCACTCCTGCTACTGCTACTGCTGCTCTTGCTACTACTGCGACGACTGCGACTACGACGACTGGGACTACGACTACGAAGACTGACGGCTACCACCACCACTACCACCACCACCACCACCACCACCACCACTACTGCTACTACGACGACTACTACTACTACTACTACTACTACTACTACTACTACTACTACCCACTGCTACAACTACTACTACTGCTGCTGCTGCTCCCACGGCTACTAAGGGTACTACGACCACCGCGACGACGACGACTACTACTACTAGTACTACTCCTACTGCTACTACTGGTATACTCGAAGACGTGCAGCCGATCTGAGAGGAAGCGTTTCAGCGGGCTCAGGTTGCGGGCAACAAAGGCCCATGTTTGCAGCCTTGATGTTCGTTGGCGCCAATTCGGTGGCCTGACCAGGGGCACGTGCTACCGAGACGCTGCTGGCGCACTTGTGGCCAAGCTCCAAGAACGAGACAGCTTCACGATGCTTTCTAGATAAGCCGAGGGAAATTTAATGCATGATGCCGGCTACCAAGCGCACTTAGGTCCAAGCTGCGAGACTTACCGGAGGGAACTTCCGTCGCTCAGGCTCCACAAGCCCAAAGCCAACGGTCTCCCACTCTTGTAGGTTTGATAGCGTCTTTCTATCGAGGTTTATGAAGTATAATATGCAATGCTTAGCGCTTCAGGCTCTGCGGAGTCCCGGCAGGTTTTGCCCGAGAGCGTCCTCTCTCGTGATGCTGACGGGCTGTGGAGGCATTGCCATCCGCTCGAAGCAGAGTCTTCGAACGTCTCGTCCAGGGTCTCTGAAGGAAGGGAGCGACACTTGTGATCCGATCAGTGGTTCATATACATGTGGAGCACTTCGTAGTGTGCAGCACGCGCGCTTTGGCAGATACATCACCAGCTTCAACAATGCCGTGCTGGATGCAGAGCTGACCAGCTCAGACCTGCCAAGCACTCGGCCGTGTTGCATGTGACCTTGCTGCGCACAGAATCGAAATTTCGAGGCATGGTTCAGTCAAGTCCATATCCACATTTGCATTCGGAAAAGCACACCCACCTATACGCACAGAGGCACTTGAGGCTTGATCAAACAAACCTGTAGTGTTATTCCTGCTCAAGGTCCCAGACTGCTGACGCGGATGAAAATGGAGACTCTGATGCAGGCTTCAACCTTCGCGGCACAGTTTCTTGCCTCAGCTTCAAACTGGGCCGAGATGTCTCAAGATGTGCAAAGGCCAATATCTCGCTTGGCTGACCCGGCTTGGCCTAAAGCCTCGGCCTCAGCGGCATCGGCAGCTGCCCGGTAGGTCAGCGATGTGGAAGACCCCTCTGCAGGCTCTGTTGGCTCAAGGGTGGGGCAAGTGACTAGGCCGCCACGACGTGAGAAGGCTCGAGGAGACACCTGTGGGCTTTGGCTTTGGGCTTTGGCAGGTGCAAGGCAGGTCCTCCAGCAACAGATGCAGCGACTCCCACGCGGAGTCCAAACAGCGATCGCCGAAGTGGTGATACCCGATTCTGCATGCAGGAGTTACAGGCATGCAGCCCGTGACGCCAGCGGCAAGATTGGTCCATGCACCTGAGCCTGCATTAGACCCCATTGGCTGTTGCATCGTATTGATTGCAGATATAAGGGGCAGGGCCTGCCGTGCGTCGCACAGAGGTGGGGGAGGCAGTGCAGCGAGCACAGAGCTCACCAACGGTGGAAGCCTTCCCAGCGCCGACACAGTCGTGGCCAGCCGGATACGGCCTCCAGCCACTGGCTTTGGGACTGATAGGCGTGGCATGACATGACGCATGCCCAAAGAGCTAGAGATGTCTGGAACATGCTTGAGGCGCGTCTGGTAATCTGGTATAGGATTTACAGGCGAGAGCTCAGATCTGTGACGAAGTCACAACCTCGTTCGAGCACTCTTTGCAATGAACGCAGAGACGAATCAGATGAACTTCCATCGGCTGCACCCGGCAATGGGTGACACCCCAAAACGCTTGTCCACATCGGTTTGCTTTCCCGATGCTCAAAGGAAACACGGAAAGGGTAGAGCTACGGAGGTACTTGTGAGCAGCAACGAAGGGCTGTGGAAGTCGCTCGCGACATGGCAAGCAGCCCAGCACTGCAGTCACTGCAGGCGGCATTGCCTTGGCACCTGGCTGGGCCCAGCGGCGGCCGCATGCGCGGAGGGCGCCCATTGTGTCGCGGCCAAGATTTGCCAGTAATCTGCCCAAATTCGATGGGCAACTTACCGACGGCGCGCACGACACCACCACCGTCACAGCCTTCACCAACACAGAAGCACCGAACTGCCATCGCATTTCCACCGCCATGACTACCACCACCGCCATGACTACCACGACCGCCACCGCCACCACAACGCCACCACCGCCACCACCACCACACCGCCACCACCGCTACCGCCACCACCACCACGACCACCACGACCACCACACACCGCCGTCATCCTTCAAGGTTGAGGCAGAGTCAGCCTGGTGGCTCGACAGTCTGGAAGCTCGTGATACCGTGCCAAGGTCAAGGTTCCATTGGCTGCAGACCCCAAGGAGGACGTTTGCAAGGTCATTCACTATGAAATGGGTTTGCATGGCCACTTTCCTCGCCTTCAACAGAGCAGGCCATGCTGAAATTGAAGCTTGGCTGACTGCACATTCTCCCTTAATTACGCCTAAAGAAGCAGGCAATCGTAGGCTGCGTGCTGTAGCTACCAGCGGTGCCAGTCACTGGGAGGAGTCCAGCAGTGAAGAAGTTGCCCCCAAGTCCAGCGATGCTGCTCGCGTCGCTTTAGTGGCAACTCGGCACCGAAGCGACGCACAACAGCGAGCTGATTGCCTTTGACTGATGAAGCTCAAGAATGGCTCTACCACATCCGACATCCGAATATCATCTCCCCCATGCCCTGTGAATGTAAACTCCTCCGTGCCTTGTGAATGAGCCCTGCGCGTTCACATCGCAGAAGAAGAGATGGAGCAAACCTTCCACTGGCTCCAGATACGGTGCTTCTATTCTAAGGTGCAGCGCCTCAACTCAGCTGAAACCACGCTCAGGCGCTGGGGCTACGTGGCACCTTGATGACACCAACAGAGCAACATAAGATCAACACTTGTGCAATTTCCAGTGGTTGCCATGGGAACAGTCGAATCAGCAGTAGAGTGAAATTGAGGCCGAGATCGTCTACACCTGGCTTGGATTGATCTCACTGTCCGTCGCCAGCTTTGCTGCTTATTCCCAAGGAGGCATCGTGGAAAAGCGGTGAGGAGATTGCTTTGATTGAAGCTGCTGTGACTTGTGTCTGTCCTGCAAAGAGCTGTGGACTCTGAGCTGCGAGGCCTTCGAGCGTTTCAGAGCTCCATGGGCCTCGGCCTGACCTCAGTGGGCCTCTCCGTTGTTTCTTGGAGTGCAGAGAGATCTTGAATCTGTGTGCGGCAACCCGGCAACCCCCAGCGGCCCCAGCACCCCACTGGGCCTGCAGAGGTTTGCTCCCTGATCGGCTGGTTCCAGGCCCGTAGCTGCAGGCACGGTATGTGCAACAAACCAGAGAAGCCGGTCCCCCCTTGTGAAGGGCCCAGGCCCCACCCTGCCTTCACACATTCCTAGCCTTGGCCGTTGCGTTGGCCCTACCTCGGCAGGACCTTGGGCCGACGCTGCGGCTTGGCGGCGGGATCGCTGGAGCCGAACGGGCCTGTGGCCCTGGCAGAAGTATTTTCGGAATGACGAAGGTTTTGCGTTTTGGAGAAAGTATAACGGCTTGAGGCTTCATCTCAATGATGCACCGTGGACATCTGCCGAGCTTCTGGTAGCTGCATCTTTCCCTTTGGAACGCTGCCGTCGGTAAGCCATCGAGCCTCGTGAAAGCTGTGAAGTTCAGGTGCCACCTGCAGCCCAGATGGCTGCAACGCTGCCCGGCTGAAGAGTTGCATGAAGGATTGAAGGATCATGAAGGATCTCACTTTCCAAGGAGGGTCTGCAGGCCGTGAAGGCCGCCTCTCGCAAGCTTGGGGGCCCTAACGATAGGGATACGCAGTGCGCAGCCTGCTCAGCACAAGAGGGTCTCCATAAAGTACCCTTGTCAGAGCCCTCGTAGTACTCATACATCGGCCCTTACAGTGCCCTTACAGGAGCCCGAGTAGTATCCTTTAGGGGAGCCAAGTTCCCATGCCCATGTTGTAAAAAGGTTGCCTTCCCTGGTTGCCATTGAGACGACCCTGCGGGCGCGCCAGCGGACGGCGTGGCTGGGGGCCTTATTTGCCGTGGTCGGCCTGCAGACCATGGTGGGCCTCATGGTGGGGAAGGCGCTGTTCGCTGTGGTGCACCAGAGAATTACTAGTAGCATAGTAGTGATATGTCTAGTACGGTATCGTATAGTATAATGTAGACAAGTTGTTGTAAAGTACAATATCTAGATCGATAGATAGATAGATAGATAGTGTTAGTTAGTATAGTTTGTCATGCTACAGTATAGTATAGTACGGAAAGAAACATGAAGTATAGTGTCGTATAGTAGGCTACAAGTACTATACTACAGTACAGTCGGTATACTGCGGATTCATTGGTGTGCAATGTGGGTGACAAAGTTTTGAGGATTCGGGTCCGACCAGGGAGCTGCGAGACATGCTTTTTTGCTCATGGTTTTTCTCTGGTTTGCAGAGAGGTGCTGGCAACATCTGGAGGCTTCTCGCAATCCCCAGGTGCGGCGGGTTCGTTTGCTTTGTCTCGCAAATTCATCGAGTCAGGCACGAAGTCAAGCTCCATTGAGGGTGTTGCTGAATGCCGTTTCTGCATTCAGACCTCGGGGTAAGCGAGCTGCTAGCAATCAACGCCGTGATTTGTTTGTTCAATCCTTGCCTCTTAATCGCGTTTCGAGGTATTAACCTGGACGTCTTCACATTGCTAGCCGTGTCAAACTCGGCACTGGGCCACGTCCTCGCCGGAGGGCTGGCTGCACTTCAACAAGGCGGGATGGAGCCTTCAGATTGTCCAGTCTAAGCACGGTTCCGAGCCATCTCCGACATGCCGGTGGAAACAGTGTGCGCTTACATTCGGCGTTTTTCGCGTCCGCTTGGTTTCTACAGTAATTGTTCCAGAAGGCTTTCTGCGGCGGTTGAACAGAGTCCCGGGAGCCGGCAGATGGCTCCTGTTGGGACAAGCTCCAAACAGGGCCCAGGCCTTGCCGCACCAAACCTGCTGAGAGCCCTCCAAGCTTCAATTTCGAGCATCTCAGAGCTTTCTCTAGAATCGGAAAGAAGCCTCCATGGGTCCATGGGTGCGAGGATCTCTGCCACAACCTTCGAGCTCCGATGATCCCTTCCAGGGGTGGAGCCGATGAGGCAAGGACAGGGGGTTTGGCTGGGAGGTTGCCTTCCCCTTGGCCATGCATGCCATGGCTGAGTTGAACCGCAATGATATGGGCATCACGTTGTCTCCCACGCGTGCTATCGCTGAGTGCGGTTGGCCGCACTCTGCAGGACTCGTGCAGACTGAAGACTGCGTGTTGTATATAACTCAAGGAAGCCGGCTACACTGCTACACTGTTTTCCAGATGTGGAGCTGTGCCTGTTTGATCCCATCCGCTGGAGTTCTAACCCTGGTGGTGTTGCAGTGATCTCAATACTGACCCCTACCGCTGCAGTAGTCTGCTGTCAGTCAAGACAGCACTGAGAAAGCCCCGCATTCTAAATCTACAGTAGCTGCTCGACGCTAGCATGTGGATCCGCATGTGGGTTGTGTTTAAGCCTTTGACGCTTTGCGGCACGACTACTTGGGCTACCTCCATTGATGGAAGCAGGGTTAGTACGGCCAGTGTCTACACCAATGGCCATTTCGATTTAGGAAGCGCTGCAACAGTCAGTGCGACACCTTAATGTTAGGCGAGGCAGTATGCAGTAAAATTTGCACTTAGGGTGTGCAGCAGGGCAGACCTGTGTTGCTGAAGCTTACAGGGTTCTCAACACATGACATTATGTATGGGCTCAAAAACTTGCATCTCTTTCGCGAGCATAGTCAAACTCCAGTCACACAAAGCTGTTGATACCTGTTGGCTACTGGCAAGAAGCGTAAGTGCGCGTCTTGCAATTTAGTAACTCATAGCACACGGGAGATCCGACTAAACATTAATCAGCGATTTCCGAGAACACCTGCGAGAAGCATGCTGCGCGGGCTCTCTCCCATCATGGTGGCTCCTTCACTGGCGCTGTACGAGAGCCCGCTGCGCTACTACTTGATCCTGGAAGCTTCGATGCTTTTATAGCATCCGCGTGGCAGCGATGCCATTTCAACTTCAGCTTCGCCGCTGGAAGGGATTTCCTTGTGTCAGATTCCTAGGATGCCGATGCGGACATCCGAGATTTGGAAGTGGGCGACCTGAGCGACATGGAATCTGATGTGTCGTGTCTCATGTATAGTTTTGAAAGGTTGTAGCAACCTCAGCACAAAGAGAAGCACGACTTTCGCATGCCCCCCCCCATCGAAGGTGCCAGTTGGCTTCCTGGAGCATTTGCGGGATGAGCGCGACATTTGTCTCAGCACTGGTTCTCGGAGTCACTTCACAGACATGAATGAACGGATTAAACAACCTTTCCCAAGTCGCAGTAGAGAGGCGGGTTCCTTTCAGAAGTTCAAACTCAGGAGCGCAGGACTCGACCTTCGCTATCGCCAGAGGAGTTCGAGCGCAAGCCGGAAGCCTTTTCGACGTCAGCTGGAGCCGCATCCATGTCGAAGCTCGGCCGAACCAGAAGGCGCTGGAGGCGTTCGAGGTCTGAACTGCTGACTTGCTGAGCACGTGCCTACTTAGGTTTGCCACCATGACTCTGGACCCATGGCTGGGCACGTCAGCTTTGCATGGTCAATGTTCGAGAATGAGAAGCCATGTGAGCTCTCGCATAAACCCTACAGCAAGGACTGGACGCGGAAGCAAGGCAGCTTGGCATGCAAGAGTCCGGCTCCGGACATCGAGATCTCCAGAATTGTTCCATCCCGCCGAGGCAGGGTCGGAACGGATCGGCTAGCGAGGCTTTGGGCCACGATGCTCGAAACCGCTGGCCTCACGGCCGAGATCTTCGCGGCGGCAGCCTGAGCTCTTTGATCTGAGTGGTCATAAGTTAAGAAAGCGTAAAGACATTGAAGGACAACTTGGCCCTTTCCTCAATTGCTTCAGGTGGATCCTGGGCAGATCGTTTTTGCTACGCACAGGATCGCGGGAACCTGCAAGTCGAAGGGGGGGAGGGCAGTCAGAGATCAAATCAACCTACATTGGTTCTGACAGGACCGAGGAGGTGAACACGATTGAGAGGACTCTTGCCTGCAACCTCGGCTTCAGCTTGAAAAAAAGCAATGCGAGTGTGCGAGTCGAAACCAAATGTCCAGGTTCGTGCTCGCGCAAGAAAGTGTGGACTTCTTCGAGTTCAATCAGCAGTCCCTCGGCTCAGATCTCTGGCATTTTTTCTTGAGTGCAAGTCAGGTCTTCTACCCTTAACTTACAAGCTGACAGCTTGGTGCGCCAAGGCTGTCCAGGTGCAAGGCCCGTAATCCCCAATGATCCTCAGTGAATCAACTCGCAAACCACATTCGGCGGAGGCCCCCAAACGAACATAGTCGAAACAAAGATGCAGCCAAAAAGGGAATATGCTCCTCTAGACTCCAGACCAGGCGCCGCTTTCCAGGCAGCCGGAGAGCGCCCTTGAGCACGGACGCCGCTCGGAAAGTTGATTGGCGGGTGCGCAAAGAAATTGCGGATGTCTTGGGTGTTTTGGGGACGACTCGTAGCCTGCAGCTTTGACGTGTGGTATGCTTGAGGCGGAGAGGCAGCGAATGAGCATGGCAACTCGATGGCAGTCTGATCGGCCTCCTTGTCACAGGGTAGTAGTGCTCGTAGAAATAACTTTCCAGTTGTAGAGATGAACCAAGCTGGCCAGTAGCACAAAAGCCTTTGCCGCCACTGCTGCTGCTGCGACATTGATGCTACATCATCGCCATGAGGGGAAATTTGGAAACAGTACTCAGTACAACTGCCGCTGCTACTACGCATCTACGGTTCCCTGTACCACACGGACAGAAGAACTACTACTACTACTACTACTACTTTACTACTACTACTTTACTACTACTACTACTACCACTACTACTACTACTACCACTACTACTACTACTACTACTACTACCACCACTACTACTACTACTACGACGACGACTACTACTACTACTGCAACAACAACAACAACAACTACTACTACTACTACTACTATTACTACTACTACTACTACTACTACTACTACTACTACTACTACTACTACTACTACTACTACTACTACTACTACTACTACTAATGGATTCGAGTCTATTTTCTATTCCATGCAAACAACAAATTCGACCGCTACGCTTGTGAAGATTTTAATGCCTGCATGAGTGCATGAGTGCATCGTAATTGATAATGAACAAATGGTAATTAATCCTGGATGGATTTTGACAGTCTTGACGACGCGGGCCTTTGCCATGCCATGTGGGCATTTTGCCCCCTCTTGAGTGTACTGGCGTTGTGCTGTTACACTATTTTGGTGAGTCCTTAACATGTTCCTTCCTGAAGTCGGAAGCTGAAGCCTATGCATGACCACTGAGACAGTGGCTTTTCATCAATCCCTCAATTGATAGGGCCGCGATGATGAATTTACAGGAGTGTACATCTGTTACCCTGCTTCGTCACATGAGCCATGCAGGAGGCAAAAACTACTACTACTACTCGTACTAGTACTATCTAGTACTAGTACTAGTACTAGTACTAGTACTAGTACTACTAGTACTACTAGTACTACTAGTACTACTACTACTACTACTACTACTACTACTACTACTACTACTACTACTGCTACTGCTACTGCTACTACTACTACTACTACTACTACTATTACTCCTACTGCTACTGCTACTGCTACTGCTACTGCTACTACTACTACTACTACTACGACTGCTACTACTACTGCTACTGCTACTACTACTACTACTACGACTACTCCTGCTACGACTACCGCGAGTACTCCTGCTGCTACTACTACGACGACTACTACTAAGACTACTACTGATGTGGTTGGCTCAGCAAGGGAGGAGGCAAACATTCCTCCTACGCCTCCTACTCCGACTCCTGCTCCTACTGTTCCTCCTCCTCCTGCTCCTGCTCCTGCTCCTGCTCCTGCTGCTGCTGCTGCTCCTGCGACTCTGAGTACTCTTATCACCAGCACCACAAGTACGACCAGTACCACCACCACTACCACAAGCACGACAACAACTACGACAACCACCACCAAAAACACCAGTTAATCCAGTATCGCCATGCTTCCGCTCCCAGACGCCTCGCTTCTGCTAGCAATTACTACTGCTGCTTCTATTCTTCTTCTTCCACTGTACGGCTGCTGCTTCTATCAGCAGTACGTAGCCATAGCATGGACATAGTGGACGGTTGCAGGGAAAGAGTTGAACACTTCCCGTGCAGGTTTTGCAGCGTGTTATGTAGGTGACTTATCGGCTCGTATCCTTAAATCAAAGGGGAGCCGCCAGCTCTCCGCCAAGAGGGGACGCATTAGCCTAACGCGTCGCACATGCACGCGATGGTCACAGATCAATATTGTTTTTGTGAGCCAAGGAGCGACCTGCGGCGGTGCTACTTGATGGCACATGGACGTACCAGTGGTGCTTGAGAAAGGGTCCGTGATTCCGCAAGGGCGGCAACCGGTCAAACTGCGTTCTGCCAGTCTCGTGCACATAAACGGCATTTACCTAGATGATGAGTGCTGAGTCACATCCAGTTTTCATGTTTCTGTCAACGCTTCAGGCCACCGCGCAAGCCTGCTCACGGCAAAGGCTTCCATCGATCAAAAGAGACACCGCATGCATCCCGCAAGTGTTTCTCGGAATAGGATGTGGTTTGCATTCCATCCGGGAAGAAGCTGCATGACTTCCAGCCGGGACGGCTTCAAGTCTGGGGTCTTCTCTTTTTCCGCTTTGGGAGTCCGCCCAGGCAGTATCTCTACTGCGGCCCCCAGCATCGAGAAATTGTCCCGGACTGAGAGTCGGAGCCTGCGCTTTGCTGAGCCGGGACGGACAGCAGCACACGCAGTGCCTGTCAGTGTGCAGACTGCAAGGTGGGCGTTTATTTCGGGACGCAAGCTGCCCAGTTGTTTTTCTGCATTTCATTATCTCATGTTTCGGGCAGACCAGATGGTGCCGACCTGGAAGGTTTGACCCGCTGCACGAGAACCACTTTCGATTGGTGCTGTGTGCATCAACCCCGGTGGCAATGTGGTGATCGTTCGCTTTGCAAAATTAAGACTTCGCACGAGACTGTTTCGTGTTGTGCAAGGTCATCACAGCAAAGCGTGTGTGAGTTCGTTCTTCCAGGCTTTGAGACGATGCGGGGCTCGTCGTGTGGTGTTCCGTCCCCAGTTGAATCCACAAGACGATTCACACGATGCATTCGAAACAATTTTGAGTCTCACGATGATGATTGTCATCCTTGGAGCTGTTCTCAGTGTCATCTAGCACCTCGCTGGCTTTCTGGTTCTCATCAGCAACTGTATGCTCACGACATTGCCGTCGTGGTCATCTCGGACGGCAGATTCGTGGTCGTCTTCTATGTGTAATTTGATCATTCCTCCCCTGAAGGGCCTTAGTGGAACAGGTCCTACGTGCGATCGCATTCCACGGCAATCCAATAAACGTGTCGAATCAAGCAGTGGGAGAAGAAAATGTCAGCTATCTTCGTTCACGTGGCAGTGGTTATGGTCAGGCGTCATAGCCTCCTGCACAAAATGGCTTTTATGCTTCTCATATCATGTGCCAGAGGGATCCAGAGGGCAGGAAGTCGCTGAAGGTGCCACGTTCACGAGACCTCTAATTGATCGGGAATGACCGAGGCTTGTACCAAATCAGGGAGGTTGGGCGCTCAGGAATTCTACTCCTATGACCTCGAGAAATAGTTGTGGGGATGAGAGGCAATCCGTACAAACCGAGCTGCTCGCCGCTTGTGGAACGCATTCGCTGCATCGAGGCGGCTCGGATACCCAGCCACTAGCCATTCCAGCGAAGCAGTTACCACCCCTGACACCGGCTGTTTATTCGCTAGGAGCGACTGAAGGCAGCAGAAGCCGCACATGACATCGAGCCAGGACAGTTTGCCGAAGGAGTTGCCGCAACCGGTCTTCAGGATGCAGACACGCTTTGACAGGAGAGGTCCTGGTGAGAGCAGAGGCTGGCGCAAACAACTGGCCCCAGCGCCACTTGGACGGATTTCGGCTCTGAGGCGTCAAGACCGAGGTTTTTTGTTTGCATTCAGGCTCTTCGAGTCCACCTTCCCGAAGCTGCCAAGCTGCCACTTGAGCTGACATCAGACATGCGCCAGTATGCTTTGAGGTGAGAAAGTGGCGCAGGCTTTGGAGCTGCAGGAGCTGGCCAACAGCAGAGCCCGAGCCCTGGAGTAACTTCTCGTAGATCAAGGCGCACCACAGGGTTGAGCTTTAGATTATGTACATGGTACAGGCAAACCTCAAGAATCGAAAGGCGAGGTACCAGGTGCTTCTGGAGGCTAGAGAGATACGAGAGACATCAAAAAGACATCGGGCCCCAGCCGAGGCGACAGCAAGAGTTGTTCTTCTCTTGGGCGAGGCCTGCCGATAGCAGCCGAAGAATGCCCTGTAAAGCTGTTAAGTTCACGCCCGAGTGACATGTTGGTTGCGTGTGGCGTCGCTCACTTTCGGCGGTTGGTGCTTGTTTTGATATGTCGTGGTTGCTGCCTGGGCTATGTACCTTGTAATTTATCACGTAACTGACTAGTGGGGTTTGAGGTGGTTTGAGGTCCTGTCGAGCTCCGCACACGTCTTACCGTCTTCATCGCAGCCTTGGTGCCCAAGCGTTTGCGCAAGGTAAGTGTAGCCGGAGACTGTAATCTTTGTTGACACTTTGTTCAGCGCAGAGCTTTCCCAAATGGCATTTTTATGTGATGACCCGCGTGCCGAAGAAGTGCAAGAGAAGGAAGAGGAGCTGAGAAGGCTGGGCCGCATGCCGCGTTGCTGTCAATGTGGTCAGGAGGCAAGCCAGGTTTATCATGAACACGTTGGCCTGGGTGGAGATGACGTTTGTGGCATGATAATGGGCCTCGCCTATAAGGAGGAGGATGTCTTCGCGTTTGCAAGAATTTGCAAGAACACGTGCAGCAGTTGCTCTCGGCCTTTGTGCCTCCACTGCCAGTCACATTGTGCCAACAAGGGCAACAAGGGTTATGACTTTGATGACAGTGATGGGGGTGATGACTCTGATGACAGTGATGGGGGTGACTGCACCCAATTTGACGCGGAGCATCCCGTGTGTGCACGTTGTGCATCCCAGCATGGCTTTGGCAAATGTGGATTTTGCCACAGAGTTCACTGCGGAGCATGCAGGAGCCCGTGTCCAACGTGTCGTGAGCCAACCTGTCCCACGTGCACCCTCCGATCCCGAAGCAGTAAGCCGGTCTGCCTCCAGTGCTTCTTCGAATGCAAATGTCGCCAGCTTTGTGCAGTGACATCAGGCCGAACATGCAGCACTTGCAAGGCGTTGCGCTGTCCGAAGTGCTCCATTGAGTGCATCGATTGCTTAGCACCACAATGTTGCGGTTGGTGCTACTGCGAGACTTGCGGCTCTCAGAAATGCAAAAGCTGTCCTGCGCAGCATCGCTGTGCCATTTCAGCTGAAGACGAGGACACCCCAGTGAGCTGGCGATATGATTCCACGCTCGGATCCCGGTCCCGTCTGAAA